TTTTTTACATTTCAGATTAGAATATCTAGTGTTGGCATGGCTGGGGGAAACACTTTTACGGTGTTGAAGTCTAGCCTGAAGGATTTTGAGCATTACCTCATTAGCATGTGAAATGAGTGCAATTGTGCAGTGTTTGAACATTCCTTGGCATTGCCTTTTCTTGGGACTGGAATGAAAACTGACCTTTTCCAGTCCTGTGGCCACTGCTGAGTTTTCGAAATTTGCTGGCATATTGAGTGCAGCACTTTAACAGGATCATCTTTTAGGATTTGAAATAGCTCAGCTGGAATTCCATCACCTCCAGTAGCTTTGTTCGTAGTGATTTTTTCTAAGCCTCACTTTACTTCACATTCCAGGATGTTTGGCTCTAGGTGAGTGATCACACCAGCATGGTTATCTGGATTATTGAGATCTTTTTTGTATAGTTCTTTTGTGTATTCTTGCCACCTCTTTTTAATATCTTCTGCTTCTGTTAGGTCCATACCATTTCTGTCCTTTATTGTGCCCATCTTTGCATGAAATGTTCCCTTGGTAACTCTAATTTTCTTGAACTTTAGTCTTTGCCATTCTATTATTTTCCTCTGTTTCTTTGCTTTGTTCACTTAGGAAGGCATTCTTATCTTATCCTGGTATAGAGAGGGATATCACCTTATAAATGGGGATTTCCCTTGTAAATGTAAATGTCTCTTGTAAAAGGTAACTCCTAGTTGGTTTTCAGAACTTCATCTTTGTCTGCCACTTCTTAAAACTAGTCAGCTTAAAACAACCTTTACGACAAAAAGGCATATTTTACTGTGGCACTGTCCACTTCATTGTGAGCAAGGTATGCCTGGGTGAAATGTGACTCCCCCCATTCCTCTTGGTACTAGCAGGCTTATTTATCTCAAGGAGATATAAAGCTGATGCTAGTTTATACTTGTATGGTAAGAGAGAGTTGTTTTATTTTACATGAAGCTTCATGCTTTTTTTACCCACTCCAGTATCCTTTCCTGGGAAAGCCCATGGACAGAGGAGCCTGGCAGGCTATCGTCCATAGCATCACAAAGAGTCGGACATGACTTCATGACTAAACAACAGCATAATGAGATGAGTGCTCAGGGCTGATGCACTAGGAAGACCCAGGGGGATGGGGTGGGGAGGGAGGTGGGAGGGGGGATCGGGATGGGGAACACATGTAAATCCATGGCTGAATCATGTCAATGTATGGCAAAAACCACTACAATATTGTAAAGTAATTAGCCTCCAACTAATAAAAATTAATAAGAAAACCCCACAAACAACAGCTTAGTGCTTTTCTTGCAGTAAGATAGAGATTGTTTTATAATAAGACATATTATTTAAAACACAAATGTGGAAAACAATTTATGAATGCAAGATCAGAAAGTCCATCGAGGAGTTTGAACATATGCCTAGCTGCTTTTCTTTATTGCTGCAGACGTTTTAAAGGCTTAATGGAATTAATTTGAACTCTGTTATTTAGTTTTGCTTAATTGTCAAGGTTTCTACCTTTAAAACAAAAAAAAAAAGCCCTCCATTTCGATTTGAGTCCAGAATAAATGTTTAAACATTTTGAAGCCAAATTAGGAATTTAATTTTTTCACAGAAAAACAGCTCTATAGAATTTAATGTATTTTTTTTTTTTTTCTGTATTCTGTAGTGCATTTTCTTAAAAGTCAGGCTGTGAGTTCATCTGCTCAGTGAGGTTCTCAGTGGGAGTGGAGGGCCCAGGGATTGCAGAGAAAGAAGCATTGTAGTGGGATGACTGGTCCTGACACATCTCCAAGGGGGCGGTCTTTAATGTCCCCAGAGGAAGAGCTGTTTCTGCCTTCTTCTGCTAATGTGTGGGCTTCCCTGATAGCTCAGTTGGTAAAGAATCCGCCTGCAATGCAGGAGACCCTGGTTCAGTTCTTGGGTTGGGAAGATCCCCTGGAGAAGGGATAAGCTACCCATTCTAATATTCTTTGGCTTCCCTTGTGGCTCAGCTGGTAAAGATTCCGCCTGCAATCCTGGAGACATGGGTTTGATCCCTGGGTTGAAAAGATCTCCTTGAGAAGGGAAGGCTACCCACTCCAGTATTCTGGCCTGCTCCCAAAGAGTTGGACATGGCTGAGCAACGTTCAGTTCACGGCTAATGTGCAATAATGTGCAATAACTTGTTTTTCACCAGAAGATGTCACTTATGCTCTGTGCCTCTGACAAAGCAAAAGTGAAAGCCTGTCTGTATACTGACTTCAGTTTCTCCAGTGATGGTCTGGAGATAGTACTGTTGAGGCCCACCAAGAGATTGTCTAATCTTTTTTTTAACTTATGTATTTTAATTGGAGGTTAACTACTTTACAATACTGTGGTGGTTTTGGCCATACAGTGACATGAATCAGCCACAGGTGTACATGTGTCCCCCATCCTGAACCCCCCTCCCACCTCCCTCCCCCTCCCATCCCTCAGAGTTGTCCCTGTGCCACCGGCTTTGAGTGCCCTGTTTCATGCTTAGAACTTGGACTGGCAGTCTGTTTCACATGTGATAATATACGTGTTTCAATACTATTCTCTCAAATCATCCCACCCTCGCCTTCTCCCACAGAGTCCAGAAGTCTGCTGTTTACAGCTGTGTCTCTTTCGCTGTCTTGCATATATGATTATTAGTACCATCTTTCTAAATTCAATACATATGCATTAATATACTATATTGGCATTTTTCTTTCTGACTGACTTCACTCTGTATAATAGGCTCCAGTTTCATCCACCTCATTAGAACTGATTCAAATGCATTCTTTTTAATAGCTGAGTAATATTCCATTGTGTATATGTACCACGACTTTCTGATCCATTCATCTGCCGATGGTCATCTAGGTTGCTTCCATATCCTAGCTATCTTTTGCCTTTCTTCTGACTTTCAAATTATTGCTATATGTATGACCCTTAACTTTTAAGTTGCTTATATAAGGACCCAGAAAATCTGTAATTTGAAGAAAAAGAACATAAATCTATGAGGATATAGAACTTCCAGCTAATCTGAAGGGTGTAACCATTCCTTTTTTTGCCTATGATAGTATTTCTGGGTATTGTTTAGCTTCATCTTGACACTTGTTTTTCTCTGCGGAGAGAAAAATAAATTGATTTTACTTTATTTTGTGGAGATTGGAGAAAGGGCTTTGGTTTCCTTCCAGTAAGCTGAAAGTATTTATCTAATTTGTCTCTTCTCCTTAGTTAATCTTGAACTCTGTCAAATGTTATTAGCTACGTAGCAAGTTGCACGTGTAGTTGTCTTTTCATTGATTTGAAACCTTAACCCTTCCCTGAGATATGGGCAGGGTGGGCGGGGTGCCCTCACTGTCTGCGGCGCTGGCCACTCAGGAGAGTGTCTTACCTCAGCCGTCTCTGCTGCTGCCTGCGAGTTCAGCCCGTGACCCGCCACCCTGCTCACACAGGCCTTCTCAGGATGTCAAAAATCCTTTGGAAACTGTTTACTTTCCCTGCAGAGGTTTTTCCCTGTTCCTAAAGCTGTAAAGTTAAATATTCCTTGTACATAAAACTAATTCATAAATTGAGCTCTTGGTCAACATGCTAAGAAACTGTCCTTTGTGAGTAAGGAGAGGCCTTATGGATTTGTGCTGGACTGTTGCTTTGAGTAGAGGGACTTCTGATACGTTATTTAAAATCATGACTCAAAATCATCCATTGTACCAAGAAGTAAAAGGTAAGTCAAATAGGCATCTCCCCAGCCATGATCAGATTTAGATAAATGTGTTAGTTTTAGGAAAATACAAGATAAAGCACTATAGGAATGATTTCTGCCCCTAAACTTTTCTTTGATGCATGTGCATGCTAAGTCACATCCAATTCTTTGTGACCCCATGGACTGTAGCCCTCTAGTCTCCTCTGTCCACGGAATCCTCCAGACAAGAATACTGGAATGGGTTGCCAGTTCCTTTACCAAGGGATCTTCCCAATTCAAAGATCAAACCCATGACTCCTCCAGCCTCTGAATTGGCAGGCAGATTCTTTACCACTGAGCCACCTGGGAAGCTGAAACTTTGCTTTGATAGTCTTCATAATAAAAGTACAGGTTGAAGTTAAAATGATCTTCAAAAGTAAATAAAGGATATCTGAGCAGGGGGACACAGCTCTTATTTATTGAATAATTACAGGCTAGGCATCATTCTAAGTGTTTTTCACACACAAACTCATTTACTCCTCATAGCAGCTCTGTGAGGAAGGTACTGTCGTCCCGCATGTCACAGCCAAGTAGAAGTGTTGGATCATCTGTCCAAGGTCAGCAGCGTGTCCTGGGTTTTTCTGGACCCTTGCCCTGCCCTTGACTATGGTGCATGACCAGAAGGGGCCACTGGGTCCTCGTAGAAACTTACTCCTTGAGTTTTAAGAAAGTCCAGATTCTTCTCCATTTGTGTTATGGGCATCATTTGCTTTTGGCAGTGTTGTTTATTTGTGTGTGACTTCCATCCTCTAGCTTCCTTCTTGCTGAGTAACTGGGGGTGTGCGCATGCCCTGTGGTGCCCCTGCTGCGGTGCTGGCCGGGGCCCCGGGACCCCGGCTGCGCCCCAGCTATGCATCTCCTCCCTGCAGGCAGCACGGCGCTCCTCCTCCTCCTCTGCCTGCAGCACTCCTTCCCTGAGCCCAGCACATGGTACCTGGACCTCATGTTGGCCATCCTGGCCCTGGAGCTGATCTGTTCCCTGACGTGCCTGCTTGTGTACACAGGTGAGCATGACAAGGAGCCTGTTAATACTGAGAAAGGTCTTTAACTGCAGGTTGCATCCCCACCTGAAGTCCAGCTCGTTTACCTTTTTGGCAGGAAAGCTTTTCTATGTGGCTGAGACCCTATTGAGCACCCATGTCTCTCATTGCTGGCCACATCCAAACTCCTCTAATTTCAAACCACTAGGAACATACCAGCGAGTCATATTTCTAAATTTGTGTCATCAACAAATTCTTATTAAATAGAATGAAAGCTTTTCACTAAAAAACAGAAATGATTAAAAAAAATCCATAAATTCTGCATCCTCAAAGGCAACTGAGATGTAAGTCTGGCTTTAAATTAGAAAATAACAAAATATAGGACTGTCTGGTGGTCATGTTGGTTAAGACTCTGTAACTCCCATTGCAGAGGGCATGGGTTCTATCCCTCATCCAGAAAGTAAGATCCCACATGCTGGTGGGGTCAAAATCATAATACAAAATGAAAGTAAAGTTAATACATGAAAACTGCATTTAGACCAAACTTGTTTTTGATAAACCATTTAAGAACCCACTTCTTTCTAAATTTAGAGTTGTCTGATTGCTCTGTCTGGCTGTCTTTCAAAAGTCTGAGGGGTAAAATTAAATAAGCTTCAAGTATGTTAACAAGAAAAATAGGTGGAAGGATTCTTGAACAGAAAAAAATCCAAGCCTGGAAGAAATCAAGATTTCACTCCTGTTGCAATATTGACATGCAACAAAATCTGTAATGCAGCTAATAATGGTAGTGTTGATCAGCAGTTGTTTTGTGACAATAAAATACCCTATCTGTCCCATTTGAAAGAGATAATTTCTTCAGTTGTGAAGGAAAAGTCACGTGGACCAAAACCCGTGTTCCAATTTACTATTTTGTGCCTCTAATTGAGACTTCTAGGGCAAATATTGCTTTTGTTATGATACACTGAAGTGTATCACAAAAAATTTAAGGTTAATTTCCTGATACATGCATTTTTCCTCCCTATATTAAAAAGATTTAAAAGATACCTAGTTTTGGTAATGTGAATAGTAACTCTTCGTGACGTGATTCTTTGATACACTAATTCTAACCTAAACTTGACTAACTTGTCTGTAGTAAAGTAGTTAATCTCTGGAAATACAAATGGATTTTTCCATTGAGCACTGGACTGCCTCTGCAGGAAAAAATTAGGAACATGAAACTTAAAAGCTTTGTGATTTGATTAGCTCACCATTTGTTCAAAAACGAGTCAAGCTTCAAAAACTGCTGCTCAGTTACCAGTCTTCTAGCAGCCCTGATGTTCTGGCTTCAGCTCAGGAGGAAAGGAGTGTAAGGGCAGCAGGCCCATGTCCCATGTCCTGCAGTTTAGTGAGAGCTCTCCTGGGCTTATTGTAGCAAAAAGAAAGAGTGGAAGATTCTTATTCTATGTAGAGTGCACTCATGTTGTTGCCTGGCCTGCGATCCGTAAAATGCTGACTGCATGCATCTTATTTTAAAAACCACAAACAGCAGAAACTATCATCACAACGTTGTAAATCAACTATACTTCAATTTAAAAAGTGGAATATCTTCAGGAAAAAAAAAACTTACAAAGATGAGTCTGAGAGTTGGACATTTTTATATTGTTGAGCTACGTCTTTCATTTCTGCCTCTTAACTTTTATTTTAATACCCTGTTAAGTGTTATTTCTGTTCCTGAATTCAAGAAACTTAAAGTTGTTCCAAGTTTCTTCATTTATCTAGGAGTTATTATGTGGAAGACAACATTATAAGGAGATGCCATATGAACATAACTCCGATTCAGAAGCAAACCTCCTGGGGCAGTCAGGTCTCACCCTTCATCTCCAGAGTGGCATGGGACGCGGTGGTTTGCTCCCTCCTTGAGATGCATTCTTTACTCCCCGGGACCCTGCCCGCCCCCTTGGTGACCTCATCTTTTTTGCTGAACTCTCCCAGCCTGCACGGTGGAGCCCAGAGCTCAGTCCTACATGCTCTTGGATGAGGGCACTGTGCTTGTGCCACTGGGAGCCAATGGGCTGTTCATGTCTTTTTTTTTCATTGAAGTGTAGGTGATTCATGGTGTTGTGTTAGTTTCAGGTGTACAGCAAAGTGGTTCAGATATATATATGCTTTTTAAGATTCTTTTCCATTATAAGTTATTATAAGATAGTGAATATAGTTCCTTATGCCATATAGTAAGTCTTCATTGTTTATCTATTTTATGTGTGGTAGTGTATATCTGTTAATTCCAAACTCCTAATTTATCCCTCCCTCCCCATTTCCCCTTTGGAAATCCTAGTTTGTTTTCTGTGTCTGTGAGTCTATTTCTGTTTTGCAAATAAGTTCATTTGCATCATATTTTAGTTTCCATATATAAGTGATATCATATATTTGTCTTTCTCTGACTTATTTCATTCGTATGATAATCACTAGATCCATCCATGTTGCTGCAAATGGCATTATTTCGTTCTTTTTAGTGACTGTCTAGTATTCCATTGGAGAAGGAAATGGCAACCCACTCCAGTGTTCTTGCCTGGAGAATCCCAGGGATGGAGGAGCCTGGTGGGCTGCTGTCTCTGGGGTCACACAGAGTCGGACACAACTGAAGCTACTTAGCAGCAGCAGCAGCAGTAGTCCATTGTATATATGTATCACATCTTCTTTCTCCACTCCTCCACCAGTGAACATGTAGGTTGCTTTCATGTCTTGTCTATTGTAAACAGTGCTGCAATGAACATTGGGGTGGATGTACCCTTTCAAACCACGTTTTTCCTCCAGATATATGCCCAGGAATGGGATTGTTGTATCATATGGTAGCTCTGTTTTTAGTTTTTTAATAAACTTCCATACTGTTTCCCATAGTGGCTGCACCAATTTACATTCCAACCAACAGTGTGGGAGGGTTCCCTTTTCTCCACACCCTCTCCAGCATTTATTATTTGTAGACTTTTTGATGATGGCTATTCTGACTGATGTGAGGTGATACTTCATTATAGTTTTGATTTGCATTTCTCTATTTAGTGATGCTAATTATCTTTTCATATCTGTTGATCATTTTGATATCTTCTTGGAGACATGTGTATTTAGGAGTTTTGCCCATTTTTGTTTGGGTTGTTTGTTTTTTTGATGTTGAACTGTATGAGATGTTTTTATATTTTGGAAGTTAATCTCTTGTTGGTGTCATGGTTTGGTTTGGAAATATTTTCTCCCATTCTTTAGGTTTTCTTTTTGTTTTGTTTATCATTTCCTTTGCTCTGCAAAAGATTTTAAGCTTAATTATGTTCCATTTGTTTAGTTTTGCTTTTATTTCCATTACTGTAAGAGATAGATCCAAAAAAAAAAAAAATGCTGCGATTTATGTCAGGCTATGCTACCTATGTTTTCCTCTAGGAGTTTTATAGTGTCCAGCCTTACATTTAGATCTTTAAACCATTTTGAGTTTATCTTTGCATATGGTGTTGGAGAGTGTTCTAATTTTATTTTTTACATGTAGCCATCCAGTTTTCCCAGCACCTCTTACTGAAGTTCAGACTTTCTTTTCTCCGTTGTATTCTTTTGCCTCCTTTGCCATAGATTAATTTGCCATAAGTGTATAGGTTTATTTCTGGGCTCTCTATCCTGCTTCATTGATCTATGTGTCTGTTTTTGTGTGAGGGGCTTCTCATTTCTAATTCTCTTGACCATCTCCTGAAAGTTAAGGGCTTCTTGTTACATTCCCTCACTTCGTTCTTTTGGCGTCTCACTTGCTTCTGGTCCTTTCTGGTGAACCCTCTGCATATCTCCTAACCTTCCCACATTTCTCTTTAACATCATTGTTTAAGCTTCTTTTGCCTTGTTCTCAGCTGAGAGTCACATCAAAATCATCTTTGGGTCCTGGTGGTTCCATGACAGATTGAACATATGACTCAGCACATGCACTTCTGGGTGTCTGCCTACTTCTACACTTTGTGTTCCAAGTAGCATTATTTATAGTATGGATTGGGAGAATCCTTGGAGAAGGGAATGGCAACCCACTCCAGTATTCTTGCCTGGAGAATTCCATGGACAGAAGAACCTGGCAGGCTACAGCCCCTGGGATCACAAAGAGTCTGATACCACTGAGCAACTCACACACACAGAGACACACACACACACAGACACACACACACACACAGTAGTAGAAACAACCCAAAAGGTATAAAGTGATGACTAGACCAACAAAAGATATTCTGTCTATACAGAGGATAGTGTTCAGGCACAAAAAAAGGAGTACATGAAATGAAGCACTGACATGTACAGTATGAATGAACCTTGAAAGTATTATGCCCACAGGAAAAAACAGTCATAAATATTATGATTCTATAATACTTGAAATGACCAGAACAGGCACATCTATAGAGATGTGTAAGTGTTGCCTAGTCCTAGAGGCTGGGCTGCATGAAGAATGACTGCTCAAGGAAACCAAGCTTCTTTTTGGGGTGGTAAGATGTTCTAAAATTGATTGTGGAGATAGTTGCACAACTCTTTGAATATATTGAACCATTGAATTGTACACATTAAAGGAATTACATGTGAACTGCATCATATGTAAATTATATCTCAAGGGTTATTACAGGAAAGGAAAGACTCCTGTAGAGTTTTTAAAAGTTGTGCCAGGGCCTAACTCACCTCCTCTCCCCTCCACACATGAATACTCCACGCATTTCGAGCTGCAGAAATAATTCTCAAGGGCAGTCACTGCCTATTATGCAGACCTGCCTCAGCCTCTTTGTCTCCTTGTACCATCTCTGGTGGGAGTGCTCATTCCAGCCATGTCCCGGGGTTGTTATACAGTTGGAGTAGGTGCCTGGACAGTGGCTGTTATTCAGACATGCAGGTGTATAGACAGATCTGAGGTTGGGAACAGCAGCCTTGTCTTTGCAGCTGACTTCTGCCAGTGGCATTAGTCTTCTGGGGCGTCCAGAACTGGATGATTAAGACACACAAGCTTAGTTTCTCTCAGTTTTGGAGACTGGACATCCGAGATTAGGGTGTGAATTATGCCCACAGGAAAAAACAGTCATAAATATTATGATTCTATAATACTTGAAATGACCAGAACAGGCACATCTATAGAGATGTGTAAGTGTTGCCTAGTCCTAGAGGCTGGGCTGCATGAAGAATGACTGCTCAAGGAAACCAAGCTTCTTTTTGGGGTGGTAAGATGTTCTAAAATTGATTGTGGAGATAGTTGCACAACTCTTTGAATATATTGAACCATTGAATTGTACACATTAAAGGAATTACATGTGAACTGCATCATATGTAAATTATATCTCAAGTGTTATTACAGGAAAGGAAAGACTCCTGTAGAGTTTTTAAAAGTTATGCCAGGGCCTAACTCACCTCCTCTCCCCTCCACACATGAATACTCCATGCATTTCGAGCTGCAGAAATAATTCTCAAGGGCAGTCACTGCCTATTATGCAAACCTGCCTCAGCCTCTTTGTCTCCTTGTACCATCTCTGGTGGGAGTGCTCATTCCAGCCATGTCCCGGGGTTGTTATACAGTTGGAGTAGGTGCCTGGACAGTGGCTGTTATTCAGACATGCAGGTGTATAGACAGATCTGAGGTTGGGAACAGCAGCCTTGTCTTTGCAGCTGACTTCTGCCAGTGGCATTAGTCTTCTGGGGCGTCCAGAACTGGATGATTAAGACACACAAGCTTAGTTTCTCTCAGTTTTGGAGACTGGACATCCGAGATTAGGGTGTGTCAAGGATGACTCCTGAGGCCTCTCCCTTGGGATGTAGGTGGCTGCCTTCCCACTGTGTTCTCATGTGGCCTTGACTCTGTGTAAATGCATCCCTGGCGTCTCTTCATGTATCAGATCAGCAATCCCATTTGTTTTTACCTTGATTACTTCACCAAAGGCACTGTCTCCAAGGACAGTCATGTTGGGATTAGGGCTTCAAGTTCATCAGTGGCCTCCAAGTCACCAGACTCTCTGGCTGTTCTATGTGTCTTCACATCCTGGCAGTGATCACTGATGGCTGTTTCCTGACTCTACTCCTGCCTCTCTGCATCAGCATTTCCATTCCCTTTTAGTTGATTTTTCCCATTTTTGTTTTTTCACTTTATGAAGTGCTTTTTTTTTTTTTACATTTTATTTGAAAAGAATAGGCAATTCCTAATGTAATTTGAATAAATGGAATTAAAAAAAATTTTGTGATTGGATAACCTGACAATAATGACTTTCTTATTTTAGTGAAAATCCAAAAATTTAATAAAGCCAAGCCACAGCCTGACGTACTTGAAGAAGAGAAAATCTATGCTTACTCCAACAATATTACTTCAGAGACTGGATTCAGGTATGTGCAGAGTGAAAGATTAGAGAAAGAGAATTAAAAGTTTTTTCATTTAAAAATCTAGAGACCATTCTGATGCTTGGAGTTTAGGACTCTGCATATGTTAGAATATGTTTACAACTGTGTTTGATTGATTTCTCTCCTCTCAGCTGTGGTGAAACTAAGTCTAAAGAAAGAATCTCACTTGGGGATATTGCTTTGGCTTGTGACGTCTAAGAAAAATAACAAAATTTTCTTCAAAAAACCTGAAAAATAGTAGGGCTCCATTAGCAAAGAGACTGTTGGTGAACATATGTAACCATGGCCACCTTGGTTCTATGCAGGCCTCTCTCGAGCCTGGAGGAGGTTGTGGAGAAGCAGGGAGACATCATAGTGTACCTGAAGCGACACAACGCGCTCCTCAGTCAGCGGCTGCTGTCCTTCTCATCCTCTGACCTCGGCTCTCAGCCAAGTGGGATTTGACAGCAATTCCAGAGGAACCAGAGTCACTTAAGACTGATCAACTCCCTGACAAGGTGTCACAGGAGATTGCAGCTTTGCCAAGTACCATTCTACAGTTTCTGTTGGAAACCTGAATCTGATTCTCACCTGTGTGACTGTTTAATAAGTAGGACACATGGATCATTTGAAAGGCACTTTGAAGAGCCTTGATAACTCCTGGAAGGTATATCGTCTGCACATTTTGAAATTATTTAACCACTTGGTTTATCCTAGGTCAAAGTGTAGTTTAGACATCTCCTTGGCCAACATTTTTTCCATACTCTTTGCAACTTGGTGATAATTTGTCTTTTTGTAAAGAAAGTCTGACATGACAAGCTACTTAAAATGGGGTTTTGATCAAATGAGTTTTTCCCACTTTTATACAGGTGAGAGAAGTCATCATTTGTCATGATTAGTGGTTTTTTCCATGGAGCCGATGTATTTTATATGCTTCTGTGGTATTGGATATCCTTGGCCCTTATAGTTTTTATAAAGAATTTCCCACTAGGTGATTTACCTTCCAAACCCTACAGTTTTCCATCCTCCAGAAGATGTGAAGTTTACTTGGAGCAGTGTTAGGCCAACCGGTGCCGCCTGTGACTGCAGCAGGGGCTGTGCCTGGCAGCACCAGAAACGGAGAGGACTTCAGGCTTTCTCTTTCTTTCCTTTGACCCTTCTTTGAGAGATTGCAGTTTCAGTATTGACCAGTTCTCATTGAATCAGTAAGTTCACTGATTTAAAAGGAGTCTTCTGTGGCTTTTAGTTTGTCTGAAAGAAGAAAAGAACTTTTTTAAAATCTTGGATTATACTTAAAAATTATGGGAAAAATGTCTTATCAACTGTTTATATACAGATATTAAACATATCTAATTCTTCAGATAAAATGAAGCATTTCTATGTGTAAATGGCATTTTTCCTCCATTTTTCCTGCTTTGCCCTTTTCATTAAGCAGTTTGCTTTGGCGCCTTTCCATGCTGCCTCAGAAAACTTCTTGCTTGAATGCTTAACGAGAGGGGATATTTGTGATTAGGTATGCTGCTAAAAATCTCTTTTATATTTAGCTGAATAATGAACATTTGATTTAAAAATCTTTGAGCTATACATAACTGTTTGACAAAGAATGACTTCAGTGGGTCATCCCACACTTATGAAATGGCACACGTCTATTTCCTTCAGATACAGCCCTCTCAGAGCACTCTCAGGATTTTCTGCTGAGGTCAGGTGATTGATTGCTTGTCACCTGCAATCAGCCCCACTGAGTCCCCAAAAGTGACAGCATTCACAAACTAAACCCAAAGTTGTATTTTTAAATTTAAAATTATATCCAGGTTTCCTGACTTTCTCTTCCTCCCTTTTTTTCTTTTTCCCTTCCTTTTAGCATTTCTCAAAGCTGTGGAAATTTGTCTCTGTGCCCTGGAGAGCTTTTGCCTTTAGGTGTTTTCCTTAAGGAAAGCACTGGTGGTAGGTGATTAATGCTCATATATATTTTTCAAATTCAGTTTGTATCTATCACCAGTTTCTAAGGTTATGAGATGAACTTTGGTTTACAGAGAAAAGTATAGTTTAAATGTTAGAACACTCAAGTTCTGACAGGATGTCTGTAAAATCACCAACACACTTTTCTAAACAAAATGCTGAACATTTCAAACAATAAAAGAAATTTAAAAAAGAATGAACCAAACAGTTTAAATGTTAATCATTCTGTGCACCAGAGACAATGTGTTAGCACCATGGATACAAAAATTAGTGAGACAGTCCTTGTTTAAAACTTATACTCTAAGGAGAGGACTGGGATTTCCAGGCTCTGTGCTGTGTGAGGTGATGGCAGCAACCGCAAGGTACCACAGGGGCTCCAGGTCAGAGATTTCTCTGGTGGGGAAGGGGGAGGAGAAAGCTTTAGGAACTCCAGGGAAATTCATGAGTAAACAAGAAGTGCGATAGCTACTGAGGACCATACGTGCTGTGTATAACTTGAGCCCAAAGTGTGAGGCAGGACTGGGAGGAGGAACAACCAAGATTCTGGGGACCCTGACCCTGCGCTGGAATGGGTCCCACTGAAGAGTTAGTTCTAGGCAGGGAAGTGGCAATTGGTTTTAGTTTCAGGAGGATCAGACTGTCAGGGTGGAATGGGAAAATGGGTGGCAGAGTCCATGGTGCTGAATGAACAAAGGCAGGTGGAGTAACATTTTATCATGCGTATGTATGTTTATATCTGTGATGTACATTTTATAGTGCGTGTGTTTGTTTATAGCTGTGATGTATTTCTATATTGTTAATTTGAAAATTGTGTTTCAAATGACAGTAGCATCATGACTTACTGCATTTCTTTGAATATTAATGAGGTTGACTTTTTTTATTTTCATTGTTTGTCCTTTTACAAATATTTTATGATGTACATGTGTAAGTCTTTTGCTTATTATTCTCCTAGGATATTCTTTTTCTTAACAAACATGATCTGCCTTTCTATATCAGGATAGTCTTCAGTTTATAGTTGTTGGGAATGTTTTCTAATTTGTTTGGGGTTCTTTTGCCATGAACTCTTCAACTACAGCCTGGATTCTGTCCCTGCAACGTTGGTGGGACTGAACAAATAGATCCCTAAAGTACATTGGGTGAAAGCCAAGAGTATCTTGAGGGAATTTTAATATACCCAGACTTGGGAATTCCCTGGAGTTCCAATGATTAAATGAATTCTTTTTAATGGCTGAGTAATATTCCATGGTGTATATGTACCACAGTTTCCTCATCCATTCGTCTGCTGATGGGCATCTAGGTTGCTTTCATGTCCTGGCTATTATTCTGTGAGTTTTTATCAATGTATAATGACAGGTATCCACCATTATCCTCAAAGGCAGAGGTTCTTTTCTCAGCCCTATCTAGTCTACTAATAAGCTCATCAAGGACATTCTTCACTTTTCTTATAGTGTTTTTGTTTTCTAGCATTTCTTTTTGATTTTTTTACTTAGACATTTCCATCTCTCTGTTTACATTACACATCTGTTCTTTCATGCTGTCTACATTATCCAGTAGAGCCCTGAGCATATTTATCACGATAGTTAAAGTGTTAGTCACTCAGTTGTGTCCAACTGTTGAGACCCCATGAACTGTAGCCCGCCAGGCTCCTCTGTCCATGGAATTGTCCAGGCAAGAATACTGTAGTGGGTTGCCATTTCCTTCTCCAGGTGATCTTCCCAACCCAGGGATTGAACCCAGGTCTCCTGCATTGCAGGCAGACTCTACAGTCTGAGCCACCAGGGAAACCCTGAATTGATCATAGTTGTTAAATTGTGTTTTAAGTTCCCAGTTTGATAAATGCAGCATCCCTGCCATGTTTGGTCCCGATGCTTGGTCTGTCTCTTCAAGTTGTGTCTTTTGTCTTTTCGAATGCCTCATAATTCTTTTCTTGATAGCCATATGTGATGTGCCCAGTGAACTGCTATAAACAGGCCTTTAGAGATTTGGCAGTGAGATGTGGGGAAGGAACCCTTCTATATATGACTAGAAGGGTTTGTTAGTGGGCTTTTGACTCTGAACTGAGCTTCACAAGTATTTCTCTGGTTTCTTTCTCCTTCCTAGGTGGTACTGGTTGGGCAGAGTGGGCTGGAGTTGGGTATTTCTCTAAATTCAGTCAGTTAGGCTCTGGTTAACTAGATTCTCCTGAGGGCAGATCTTGTTAATGTAACAGATCAGAATGAGCATAGCCCTCAGCAGGCAGCCATTGCTGTGCTTCATTATTCCCCATCCTGTTACTAGGCAACAGGTCTTACTGGACCATTGATTGGTGCTGCCTCACTGCCCGCTCCCCACCCCAAGCAACCAACTGTCCTGCCCAGCTATTGGTCAGCACCACAGTGGGCCCTGCCCACGGGACCATTAGGGAAGCGATTCAGCCAGGGTCAGTGGTGTGGTGGTCACCAGGTGGAGAGTGAGGTAAGAGGCAGATTCAGGCTTCTCCTGGAGGCCCTCCAGCTTACCCAGCCTTGGGCCAATGGGTGAGCTGGCGGGCCCAGGGAGCAGGCTGGACACTCTGTCCTGCAGGGCTCCAGAGCCCCCACTCAGGCCCTCCATGCCGAGGCCCAGGCCTTGAGGCAGCAGTGAACCTGCCTGTGACCTAATAGCAGTGTCCGTTTGTCTGGGTCACAGTCTGTGAGACCTGGTCTCCCCTACTCGGGCAGCCTGAGGAGACTGAGGGCCAGTTTGGTCGGATGCCCGACTCCATCAGGGGTGACAGGTGGGCAGTGTGCGGGCCTGGCCCTGAGGAGCTGTCGCTGAGCTCTGCCTCCTCTTAGCCAGGACTGGGACCTTGGAGGGTGAAAGTTGTGCCTTGGGACTTTGCCCTTTCTTGTCAGGACAGAGCAACATTATTCTGTTAATAATAAACGAATAACATTCATTTGGTGGAGATTTACAGGAAAATTATTACCGGACCATGACCTGACCCCAAGAACAAAGGATCTGACACCAAGAAGTTTGCAACAACTAACTACCTGTCCCTCAATTTTTGCTTTTAAAGGAGCTTGTTAAAAGCTTTCAATAACTTTGTGGTTCTTAGGGTGTGAGCCACCCATTTTCCAGTATGAATCTGTAATAAACTTTTCTCTGTTCCAANTTAGTGGTCTCACAGCCTGATCAGAAATGCTCATGTGAACCTTGAATACAAAACTCCCATCTGGCAGCCTCTTGAATTCTTGGGGAAACAAACCTCAAATATATGACAGTCACAAATCATAAAAACCTCAAGACATTTCCTAGGTTTCCTAAAGAAGATTGTAGTAAACATGTCTCTAAATTGTCCCCTCCCATTCTTTCTGTTCTGACCCAGCGTTTTTACCCAGCTACTCTACTGGAACTTCTTATCAAGGCAAAGGGTAGGATATCTCTTACCTGGGACTGAGTGCACCTCCTCGGCCTGCCTGCTGTGGTCTTCTCAGTTCCCCGCTCTCTCCTCACTTGATTTTCTTTACTCAGGCTTCCAGGACACTGCAGTTTTCCTTTTCACTGGCTTCCTGTCCTATCTCCTTTGCAGGCTACTTTTCTTGATGTTAGTGTCTCCTGGTCCTCTTTCTTCTCCATCAGTTCTTGCTCTTGCTGACCTCATGGCTATAGCAGAGTGTACAAGCTGGCCCCTTCCAGATGTGTCCTCCCTGACCTCCAGATGCATATACCCAGCTGCTCCTCTAGATCCCCACTGCGATGCCTTAAAGGCATTTTGCAAAACTAAGCCCTCCAACACAGCCTTCTCTATCTCCACCAGGGTAGCTCCTCTTCCTCTCACACGCCCACAAAATCTATCAGCAAACCTTGCTGGCTTTTCCTTTAAAATAGAGCCAGAATCCATCACCTTCACATGGATTGTTGAAATAGTCTCTTTACATGGACATTCAGCTTCTAACCAATGTTCTTCCCCCACATATCCCCACCCCAAACATCAGCATTTAATGTAGCAGCCAAAGAGGACATGCTGAAGCACACATATGCCATGCTACTCTGATGATTCCCTGCTGCTTAGTCACTTCAGTCCTGTCTGACTCTGTGACCCTATGGACTGTAGCCCATCAGGCTCCTCTGTCCAGGGGATTTTCCAGGCAAGAACACTAGAGTGGGTTGCCATGCCCTCCTCCAGGGAATCTTCCTGACCCATGGATCTAACCCAGGTCTCCTGCATTGTAGGTAGATTCTTTACTGCTGAGCCACCAGGGGAGTCCTAAATGTTTAATAAAAATCCAAGTCCCTGGCAGTGACATCCAGGGCTCCAGAAAATCAGCTCCCGCACACCTCAGCTTTTCCTTCACTTTCTCTGCTCTGGTCATGTTGTTTCTGGCCTGTGAGACACATCCGCAACTCAGGACTTTGCACCCCTGTTCCCTCTGCCTGGAAAGATCAACTCCTATGGAACTTTATCTCCTTCAATCGTATGTTCACATGTCTCTTGCTTATTGAGGCCTCCTGCTCACACTCACCCCCTCTATCTCCCTTACCTTGTAGGGGTTCTGAATATATATCCCCTCGAAATAGATCAGTTTGGCATATTGGTTATTTTGAACTAAAGTTATTGAGAAACAACCACTTACAAAAATGTAAACTCTTGGTGCTGACCAGGTGGTCAGTTGAGTAGTTTATACTCTGCCTTCCACTACAGGGGGCATTGGTTTAAACCCTGGTTGGGGAACTAAGATCCCACATGCTGCCTGGCCCAGCAAAAAAAAGAACCCCTGCAGAAAAGAATTCACAAGAGAAAACCCACCACTCATAAAAGAGTCACTTAAAAAGAAGAAGTAAGCTCTTATTCTCCTTTGTCCCTGTGAAAGCAGGAGATAAAACTGCCATGTGAAAGGTACCCTCCCCTCAGCAGTGAAACAGTAGGACCCTGTATGGCCCTGCTGGATTCAAAAGANAAAGGTACCCTCCCCTCAGCAGTGAAACAGTAGGACCCTGTATGGCCCTGCTGGATTCAAAAGACCCTCTGTGTCCCTTGTTTCTTGTTTATATAGAAAAAAGGCTTTAGTCTCCTAGGCCTTCCCTGAGTTCCAAAGAGCAGGCACAAGAAGTTACTAATTAGTGGAGAGAGGAAATACAGACACAAAGGAAAAGCAGTCAAGAAATAATCATCATCATCAGTGTTAGTTGCTCAGCTGTGTCCGACTCTGTGACCGCATGGACTGTAGCCCAACAGTGTCCATGGGGTTCTCCAGGCAAGAATACTGGAGTGGGTTGCCATTTCCTTCTCCAGGGTATCTTCCCGACCCAGGGATCAAACCAGGGTCTCCTGCATTGCAGGCAGATTATTGGCCATCTGAGCCACCAGGGAAGCCCCAAGACACAATAGTGCAGAGATAGAAAGAGTCCTGGTTCCTTCCCAAGTGACATATATAGCAATCTGATGCATATCTTTGAGTTTTTCTGCAGGAACTAAGACTGCACCCATATGTAGGATGGTAACTGCAAACTAAGGATGAGTATGTAGCTCAAGACTGGTTGGAACCAGAAGGCTGATAATTAAGATTCTTGAAACCACCCAGTTACCTGACCACCAAACAATCAGAAGAAAGCCATGTACCCTGAAACCATCATCCCAGTTGTCCTGAGAGCCATCTGGGGGTCTTTTGAGCATGAGCTGCCCATTCTTACTTGGAGCTGAAATAAATGCTATACTTTCTTCACCACCACTGGTGTCATTAGATTGGCTTTGCAGCATGGTGTGCATGCAGACCCAGGACTGATCTGGTAACACCAGGAGAGGAGAAGTCATACTTAACACCAGACAGAATTTAGAGCCAAGAAGGCTCTAAATAAACAAACCTTGTTTAGGGAAGGAAAAATAATTTTTCCTCTGCCCTATTAGGTTCTTTCCTGGGAACCCACTGTAATAAAAGATAGTAAACAGGAGACCAAAAAAAAAAAAAAAATCCATAGATATGTGGATTTATCTCTGGGCTTTCTATTCTGTTCCATTGATCTATATTTCTGCCTTTGTGCCAGTACCGTACTGTCTTGATGACTGTGGCTTTGTAGTAGAGCCTGAAGTCAGGCAGGTTGATTCCTCCAGTTCCGTTCTTCTTTCTCAAGATTGCTTTGGGCTATTCAAGGCTTTTTGTATTTCCATACAAATTGTGAAATTGTTTGTTCTAGTTCTGTGAAAAATACCATTGGTAGCTTGATACGGATTACATTGAATCTATAGATTGCTTTGGGTAGTATACTCATTTTCACAATATTGATTCTTCTGATCCATGAACACGGTATATTTCTCCATCTATTTGTGTCCTCTTTAATTTCTTTCATCAGTGTTTTATAGTTTTCTATATATAGGACTTTTGTTTCTTTATGTAGATATATTCCTAAGTATTTTATTCTTTTTCTTGCAATGGTGAATGGTATTGTTTCCTTAATTTCTGTTTTCTCATTGTTAGTGTATAGGAATGTAAGTGATTTCTGTGTGTTAATTTTATATCCTGCAAATTTACTATATTCATTGATTAACTCTAGGAATTTTCCAGTAGAGTCTTTAGGGTTTTCTGTGTAGAGGATCATGTCACCTGCAAACAGTGAGAGTTTTACTTCTTCTTTTCCTATCTGGATTCCTCTTATTTCTTTTTCGGCTTTCATTGTTGTGGCCAAAACTTGAGTTCACACTTTAAAATGAGAACTGGGTGTGGAGGAAAGGATACTTTGTGAATGATTATTTGTTTATTTATTTTTAAGTTTTGAAGTTACTGGTTGTCTTAATAGTTCTCTCTTCCCCTTTGAAGGAATGGTATATTTGTGAAATCAAAGAAAGGTGTTTTTTTGATTTGGGGTTTTGTTTGTTTGTTTTTTTAATTTTTTAAAGAATTGTTAATCTCACTGGTTTCTGGAAGGGAGTTGAAGACATAAAATCGTATATAACTTGATCCCCAAATAAGTTGCTTACATAGTATTCAGAGCTATCTATGAAAGTAAAAGTGAAAGTGTTAGTCACTCGGTTTTATCTGACTCTTTCAACCTCGTAGACTGTAGCCCACCAGGCTCCTCTGTCCATGGGATTCTCCAGGCAAGAATAGTGGAGTGGATTTCCATGCTGTCCTGCAGGGGATCTTCTCAACCCAGGGATCTAACCCGGGTCCCTTGCATTGCTGTCACACACTTTACCATCTGAGTCACCAGGATAGCCCAGAGCTATCTATATCATAAACCAATTCTGTTTTTTTTTAAATAATGGTTATATATTCAGACTGATCAGCTTTTAAGATGTGCTTGTTTAGTTTAGTCTTTAGTTCTTAAATTAGGCAGCTTCCTCTCCTTATATCATTATGTTCTAAAGCCCTCTGATATTTTACATAATACATTCAAATGTGTGACATCATGTCTTTTCTCTGATTTTACAAAAGGTTTTACAAATTTTAATACTGGTAGTCTTATTAACACATAAGGGATAGACGTTTACCTCTAAAATACCCCCTAATAAAATAAAAGTAGTCCATTTGAGTGTACAGTCAAGCAGCCTTCCTGCCTGGTCTGCCACTGAATTTGTTTGAGTTGTTACTAGTTACTAGTTCTCACTTATGAAATACACTTGGTTTTCTCATTCACAGGTTAGATTAAGAAAAATCTCTTCTTTTTTAAGTAGTTTGAAACTATGATAATAGAATTGATTTTCTTTGTAACCTCCCAACAGAGCAACATTTTGCAGATGTCGTGCTCAGTGAAGAATTTCTCAACCTTGGCATTGAACAAGTGTGCAGCTTAATCTCAAGTGACAAACTTACCATTTCTTCAGAAGAGAAGGTACGTATATTTTTCTTTTTCTGGTGTACAGTGATATAGTATTTTTCCTTTTTTTTTTTTTTTTGCTTTGTTTTGTGACAGCCAGTTATCTTTGATCAGAAGTTGAGAAACTCAGTTAGTTGACTCGTTGTTTGTATAAATGACTCTTTTCTCATTCCATAAGCGCTTCCCCAGCTGTTTAGACACTGAAGTTTTGTACTGGACCCCACAGCAAGAGCTTGCACACATTAAACTGTCTGAAACAGAGGACCTTTTGGGAACTGGATTTCTTCTTACAGCTTAGATAGATACCTGGAAGAATTGTGATCTAAAACATAATATTCTCAAACCAAACTGATTTCATCATCTTGTGAGTTGGAAGACACCCAGGTGGCCAAATTTAACTGGTTCCACACTGAGCCTCTTCCTTTCGATTGGGCCCTGCAGCTTACACAGTATTCTCCCTGTGTTTTCTTCCTCCAGTTCCAGAGATATGTGTAGTTTCTTTGTCTGGCTGTGTAGCCTGTCTCTCCAGATTTGAAGTTGCCTCTGTCAGCCACCTGCATCTTTCATATCAGTGGAGAGAAAAGCTTCTCGGTGGCTTTTATTGTTTGGATAGGTTTTATACCTTGTGGGAATCAGGGCACAAAAGCTTATGCACAGGCTGTGCTTGGAAGAAATGAAACTTTAGTTTTTTCCTTTTTTTGCTTTGTTGCATAAACTTTAGTTCTCTTCCTCAAGGATATTCATCCTGCTTGGGGGCAAGACACATTTCTCATAGTAGTTACCAAGTGAAAAAATATGTGAATGTTGTGAAATGTATAATCTTTTAACATCCCAGAAATAAGAGGAAGACACTACTATTCATGTTTAATAGATGTGTGTTGAGTTTCTACTGTGTACCAGATATTGCTATGGAATTCTGGATAGAAGAAGATTGACAGCATAAAATTCTTTAGTTATGACTAGCAGAACAACCAGTGAGGTAATAAAAGATGACAGAATGCTGTAGAGGATCCAGTAGGAGCATGTAATCATTCCTTGGATACAGACTGGAATTTAGCATGACTCCAGTGTATGATCCAAGTCTTTTTAAAGTGAGTATGAGTTTTCCAGGGAAACAGGACGGGTGGGAGTGAAAAGGGCAACCCAGGTAGAGGGAACAGAATACGTAAATATAAAGAGATGTGAAAGAATGATTGCATTTGGTTGTTTTAGTAAGATTAGAGTTTATAGTGTATCTTTATAGTTTATACTCTAGTGCCTATACCGGAGAAGACAATGGCAACCCATTCCAGTACTCATGCCTGGAAAATCCCATGGATGGAGGAGCCTTGTAGGCTACAGTTCATGGGGTCGGGAAGAGTTGGACACGATGAGCGACTTCACTTTCACTTTTCATTTTCATGGATTGGAAAAGGAAATGGCAACCCACTCCAGTGTTCTTGCCTGGAGGATCCCAGGGATGGGGTGGCCTGGTGGGCTGCTGTCTATGGGGTCGCACAGGGTCAGACATGACTTAAGTGACTAAAGCAGCAGCAGCATTGTGCCTATACACTATAGAGTTTATGTGTATCGGCACAGTGGTTGGAGATAAGATGGGAAGATGACATAAAATACTTCCTCAGCCATGTTAAAGAAAATTGACTTTATCCTGGTGATGAAGAGCGTCTGACGAGTTCTTAGCAGTAGGAGAATGCCATAATACCTGCCCTAAAAGACATGTCATGGAGACTTCTGGTTTTCTACTTCTACATAACAACCTCACCAGCCATTTTCTGAGGCTCACAGTTTGTGAACAGGATTCATCCAGGGCACATGGGGACAGCTTGTCTCTGCTGCACAGAGCCTGGGGCTTCCGCCTGGCTGGCCTGACAGGTGGCATGGTTCTGACTGGAGCCACAGACCCAAGGCTGCAGTCCCTTTGCGCATGGCATCTGGTGTGTCTGGAACACCCAGGAGAATTCCTTCTCTCTCTTGTCTGGCTCTTGGGCCGATTGTTGGCTGGTATTCTCCCACCCACTTACTCTTTGTAACTGGCTTGGGTCTCCCATGGCATCTTACCACCAGTAATCAGACTTCTTACATGACATCTGGCTTCCCCTCAAAGGAGCATTTCAAGACACCAGAACACATGACTCCACAATACTGCCTCCACAACCTTCCCTGTTGGTTTCTCAGGGCCAGCTTAGATTCCTGTGTGAGATTACTATATAAGGTATGGATACTAGAGAAATGGTTTTACTAGGGACCATTTTTGGAGACTAGCTCTAAAATGGTGATGTGCATAATAGATTAGAAGTTGGGTGAGGATCAGATGGGAGGATGCTGAAGTTACCAGTGTGCAGTAAGATCTGGTTGGTGTAGGGTGGTAGAAAGAGGTGGAGAAGAGAGAGCAGAACCAAGAAGTAGCAGATGAAATTGGCAGGACCCTCTTAGTCTCTAGCATCTGGCACATAAAGGTACTTGTTGACTGAATGAATTGAAGAGGCTTGTTAATTATAGTGTAGATTCTTTTCAGTGTCTTGCTCTATACTTGCAGTACAGTAACCTAATTTTTGCCCCACAGTTATTCATTTACATATCATCAAACATTTTTTATAAGATTATTGAGTTATATTCTCATCAATCTGGAAGGAAATTATGTGGTTAAATACCATTTTCTTAATAGCTTATTAACTTTCTCTTAGGTATTATTATTATTTAGATTTAAAAAGTTTTAAATATCACATTTTAATTCATTCTACTATTATGATGAAAGAAAGTTAATCTATTCTGCAGATTATTTAGAAGTATGTGGTCCAGCATTTTGCAAACCCAAAGAAAAAGTAAAAAATGCTAGGAGTAGATGATCGTTATTCCAGGTATCACTTTGCTTTATTATTTTGGGTGCTTTATTCAAAAGAGACTTTATAGATTTTAATCTAGTAGAACCAAGTTCAGTTTGGAAAGATTATCACCAATGAATTAGATCATATATCTTCAAATTATCACCTCTGTCACTGAAGTTCAAGAAGATTAGATAATGTACTTGCTGAAATACATAGTAAATACCCAGCGAAAAGTACTCACTAAATATGTAAAAGTACTAAAAATACTTATTAAAGTACATATTTAATTAAAAGTAGATCTACCATATGATCCAGCTGTCCCACTTCTGAGTGTATATCCAGAGGAAATGAAAACAGAGTCTTGGAATATCTACATTCCCCTTTGCCTGTAGCATTTTTTACTATAACCAAGATGTGGAAACAACTTGAATGTCCATCAGTGGCTGTGTGGATAGAGTGGTGCTAGAGTGAGAAAGCTGGCTTAAAACTCAGCATTCATAAGACTAAAATCATGGCATCCATTCCTATCATTTCATGGGAAATAGATGGGGAAGAAGTGAAAACAATGACAGATTTCATTTTTTGGGCTCCCAAATCACTGCAGACAGTGACTGCAGCCATGAAATTAAAAGATGCTTGCTCCTTGGAAGGAAAGCTGTGATAAACCTGGACAATGTATTAAAAAGCAGAGACATTACTTTGTCGACAAAGGTCCATCTAGTCAAAGCTATGGTTTTTCCAGTATTCATGTATGGATGTGAGAGTTGGACCATAAAGAAAGCTGAGCACCAAGGAAGTGATAGTTTCTAATTGTGGTATTGGAGAAGACTTGAGAGTCCCTTGGAGAGCAAGGAGATCAAACCATTCAATCCTAAAGGAAATCAACCCTGAATATTCATTGGAAGTACTGATGCTGAAGCACCAGTAAAAATACTGGCCATCAACCTGATGTGAAGAGCTAACTCACTGGAAAAGACCCTGATACTGGGAAAGATTGAAGGCAGGAGAAGGGAATGACAGAGGTTGAGATGGTCGGATGGCATCACCGACTCAATGGACATGAGTTTGAGCAAAGTTTAACAGGTTGCACACTGAGCCTCTTTGTCTAGACTGGCCCGTGCAGCTTACACTTGGGGAGATGGTGAAGGACAGGGAGGCCTGGCGTGCTGCAGTCCATGGGGTCACAAAGAGTTGGACACAACTGAGCAACTGAACAGCAACAGCATAGTCATGATTTGAAAAACTTCAACCACGGATAAAACTTGGATGTCTTAGCAAGAGTTTTATATAAAATGTAATCTCCTTGTATTTTATTCAGATACCTTCGTACATAACTCATTAATTTTCTTTCCCCCATATTCTCTGCAAGGTATTTGAAGCAGTAATAGCTTGGGTGAATCATGACAAGGATGTGAGGCAAGAATTTATGGCTCGGCTGATGGAACATGTACGGTTACCTTTGCTTCCTCGGGAATATTTAGTTCAGGTAAAAGTATTTGCAGAACACATAAGTATGCACTAGCTCCATGTCACTGGGGCAACAGTGTGTAGATTTCCGTTACACAGTGGTAACTGGGCATAGGACAGTAAATATACCTGATATCCTTGGCAGCTGCTACCTCTTGGGCTACTTCCCAGTCTTAAAGTTTGCTTCTCCTCAGTATCTGATTTGCATAAGCAAGTACTGGAGCTTGTGGAAGCATTGTCTGTGGTGATGTAAGTACATGCAGAAACCACATCTGTAGTTCTGTATCACTTTTGCAGCTCTTTTGCCTTCCTTCTGATAGCCTCCTCTGATTAGTGAATGGAATAAAATAGAATGGAATTCTAAGCTGAAGAAAACCAGGTTATTTGAAACAAATAGCAATAAATGGATCTTTAGTAGTCTCTGAACAATTTTAAATTTACTGTTTTATTATTAGCATTCCTTTATACTAGGGTCATTTCAACATTTTAATTTATAATTGAAGCCATACAGTGAAACTTTTTTAAAAATTATTTGTTTTTAACTGGAGGATAATTGCTTTACAGTGTTGTGTTGGTTTCTGCTATTTATCAATATGAAGAAACATTTCTTTATTAGCAATAGATCTGAACGTTTTAGAATTGTTTGAAGAATGTGTAATCACTGGTACTCCGCCTTTAAGAAAATGAACAGAAAAAAAAAAAAGGAAAACAGAAGAAACCTGTCCCGCACTTGAGGATAGGGATAGGAGGGACAAGATTTATTTGTGGTACAGGCACATTGTTATAAAGTATTTTGAATCCCTTTACTGGATATTTTTTTTTCAAGTTTTAGAAGGTTGTATTTATAATATTACCTCCCCTGCCTGAAGGACTCATTATCTCAATTGCCTTATTTTTCTTACTGTTTGGCTTAAACTGTTTCTTAATTTGGCTTAAAGATAACAAATAGATGAACATAGTACTACTAAAGATTATTCTATAACTGACATTGAAGTATATGATTTTCATTGCAGTTCTTCTTTATTATTTATATATTTTTCTCTGCAGACCAGAGAAAAAATGCAGTCAAGCATTTTTTTTAGTGATATTTATAAACTTGCCTCTGTAACTTTTAGATTGAACCAGAAGATAGTTATTCTTTTTTCCTCTTTGTCATTTTATCATGAAGTAGCTATCCCCTCATAGGGCGAGTCTGATTTCTTCTTTCAGAGGGTTGAGGAAGAAGCACTGGTGAAGAACAGCAGTGCTTGCAAAGATTACCTCATTGAAGCTATGAAGTACCATCTGCTACCAACAGAGCAGCGTATATTAATGAAGAGTGTCCGGACCCGACTGAGGACACCCATGAACCTTCCCAAAGTAGGATCTGCTATTCATACCTGTTACTACCTCATCTGAAAGGCCCATAATGAGGCTCTTAATTTATTTTACTCATCTGAATATCCATGTACCCAGGAATTCACTGTAGTATATGTAATTCAACTTCTTTTTTTATTTTTTTGTCTGTGAAGGGTGGGCATTATTTGACTCATTTAATCTTTATAAACCACTTGATATTGCTCTTCTGGAACAGAGGCAAGTGGTATTTATCCCTTCTGAGTTTCTTCAGCTGTAGTTAACAGCAGAGAGGATAATTAGAATATGTAGATCTAAAGATTTCTTTGTAAGCTACATGTTTGGATGATAAGTGAAAACTGAGTAGCTTCACAGAATTGCTCACAACTAAGGATGCTGGCTTGGTTTTGTTCTCTCTTATTGTCTGTTGTGTACAAAGCGTACACAGTGTGATGGTTCACTCTCACATCATACATAGCCATTTCAGTGTAGATTTCCCATATGTCTTCCCAGATCTCCAGTGTTCCTAAGTTTCCTATGTGAAAGTTTGTATTCTACCTTTATCTTTTTAGTTGAAGCCATTCATTTCTTACTGATTGAATTTTCTTTACAAATAACCCCTTATTTCTGTCTTTCTGTTTGCAGTTTCTGCTCTGTTTGCATCTTTATAGTACTAGGAGGCCAACACTTAAAGCACCATTTTGTGTATGGTCTGATCAAAATGATCCATACAGAATATAATACTTTTATTTATGTATTGATTTCTAGCTCTCGTGTGTTTGGGGGCAATGATGGATTAAGAAATAAGAATCTGTTGTCTACTGTTTTCTTACATCATCTTTAGTTATTACTTTTTATATTTCCATTAAATTATATCTTTTATATTCTTTTGCTTTAATACTTTTATTTAGTATTTTTTCAAGGTTTTTTTTTTTTTTTTTTTTTTTGGAGTCTACATTTTAATTGCTTCAAATCCATATTAGTAGTGTTTTTCTGTTTTGCCCAGTGTTAAGAGTTCTCAATTTAGAACTGACTGTATTTTGCCAGTGTGCTACTCCCTCCTTTTTTCTAGATTATTAGTAAATATTTTAATTTAAAATGGACTTCAGTACTCTTCCTGGTGATGCCTCATTAGAAATACCTACTTAGCAATATAGTCCATTTATAGGAAGTGTCAGTCCACATTATTATGTTTATTATCGAAACCAAAAACAAGTAATTTGGCAAATAGCATCTGATGAAATCTAGGATCATATAGGTTCAAATTTAGCATGATTTTTTTAATATCCCTCTGTGTGTTACTCACCATTTCATAGGCTCCTAGAAGTTTGAATGCTTTTCTCAAAATATTCTAAAGTTTTAGTGAGAATTATTATCACTTAAAAGATATTTACAAGGCACTCACTTCCTGCCCTATTTTGAAAATTGGTATTTGCCGTTTTTAAATTTTCTGATCTCTCCTCAGTTCTCCAAGATTTTTCAAAAATAATTGTAAGTGGCTCAGTAAGTACATTAGCTAGTTCCCTTAATACATTAGTATGCATGCCATCTGGGTCTGCCGATTTAATAAGTGTTTACATTTTCCAAATACCTTTTACCTCCTTTTATAAGAAGTCATCTCTATTAAGTCTTCATTACTTCATATCTGTCCATATTGTTTGGTGTCAATTTTTGTTTTTACAAAAAAATACAGGTTCATAAAAGCCGTCTATAGCCTTAGCCCATTTGAATTATTGTTTCTTTTATGCTGGTCTTTTTAACTTCCTTCTAAAAGGTTTGTCTTATCTTTAGTACTTTTTAAACATTTCATATTTGTAAACGGTCTCTTCTTAACCTGTATATTCCCTTAGCTGGCATCTTTAGCTTTGCTGTCTTTAGCTATGCCTTAACCTTTAGAGTGAAAACTAATTCTCTTCTAATTTCTGTAATAAGGATGCTACTTTTGAAAACATTCTAAAGAGTTCTTGGTGAAATCCTGTCAATTATTTTCTCTTTTGTGATCATCTGTTCAGTTGACACTGTCTCTGGGCTCTTCTCTGCCTATGGGTTTGGGTAGCCCTCTCGACTGTATTAAACTTGGGATTTCTCAGTTCTTTAGCTTTGATTCTGTGGTGGGTGTGCACGACTGAGTGACTAACACACACACACACATGCCGATCCGTGAAGGTTCTCTTCTGCTGTCTCGGGGGCCTGGAGAGTAGGGTGGCAGACCTGACAGGTAGCAGGGAGGTACCCTGCTGCTGGCTTTGTATCTGCACAGTCTCTCCTGAAAGTTTATTTATCTGCACAGGTTTTTGAAAAGTGCTTCTACTGTATGCTTTTACAATAGCACTGTTTGTCATTTTAGAGGGGCTATAGTCAAGGTTAATTCTAACTAGATAGTTAAGAATGAGGCAACATGATTAACAGTAATGATGCATTTTATTATAATCACAATAAGACATATCAGGCAAAATGTGGTAGCAGTCCTAGAATAATAGATAATATTTCTACCATGACAGTGACTTATTAGGCTCTGATTTTGTGGACTCATACTTATTTGCATAAGATATATCTTTTTATAGCTCAGACATTAGTTTTGTGTCTTCAGTAAACCGTCTTGGGATTGTCTTAAGGCACTCTCTGATTTGGACAGTATAATGAAAAACTGTGTATGTTTTGCTACTGTATGTTATTGTTTAGTTCAGTCGCTCAGTTGTGTCCAATTCTTTGTGACTCCATGGACTGCAGCACGCCCGGCCTCCCTGTCCATCACCAGCTCCCGAAGTTTACTCAAGTTTATGTCCATTGAGTCGGTGATGCCATCTAACCATCTCATCCTCTGTTGTCCCCTTCTCCTCCCACCTTCAATCTTTCCCAGCATCAGGGTCTTTTCAAATGAGTCAGTTCTTCGCATCAGGTGGCCAAAGTATTGGAGCTTCAGCTTCAGCATCAGTCCTTCCAGTGAATATTCAGGACTGATTTCCTTTAGGATGGACTGGTTGGATCTCCTTGCAGTCCAAGGGACTCTCAAGAGTCTTCTCCAACACCACAGTTCAAAAGCATCAATTCTTTGGTGCTCAGCTTTCTTTATAGTCCAACTCTCACATCCATAAATGATCACTGGAAAAACCATAGCCTTGATTACACGGACCTTTGTCAGCAAAGTAATGTCTCTGCTTTTTAATATGCTGTCTAGGTTGGTCATAACTTTTCTTCCCAGGAGCAAGCGTGTTTTAATTTCATGGCTGCAGTCAATATCTGCAATGATTTTGGAGTCCCCAAAAATAAAGTCTGACACTGTTTCCACTCTTTGTCAGTAGTTGTGTTGTGTGGGCTTAGTTGCTTCTCAGCATGTGGGACTTTAGTTCCCTGACCAGGGATTGAGCCCACATCCCCTGGATTGCAATGAGGGTTCTTAACCACTGGACCACCAGGGAAGCCCCATGTTATTGTTAGCTTCTTTTTTTATTTGGAATCTGTATTTTTGTAAATGCTATCATATTATTTCTATTTTTCTTTATTTTACCCAGGATATATAAACTTGATATTTCAGGAGGCAATTTAAACTAAACTAATATTTAATAGGTGAAGAAAATGAAAGAACAAAATTTAATTGATCTACATTTCAAGATGCTCACTTGATTTTTTATAACTCCCTACTTCTTACCTTCCTTAAATATGTCATATTTAACTTTTCCATACACATGTCTTAGTAGTTTTCTATTCCTTTATATTAATATAATAAGTATGGTGTTTCTCAAGTGAAACCAGCTGTCTTTCACAAACACTTGGGATGTCAGAGTCATGACATACTTTTGATGGTAGTAGCACTGTCTCTTGATCTCATACAAATATCCCTGCTCTCATCTTCCTGTTATACATTCTTCCTTTCCTGGTTATCTCTAATTTTTGGAGATCCAAATCCTCATCCCATTTTACTTTTCTTGGGTGAGTAAAGGACGGGTATTACTACCTTTCTCTGTAATCAGTAGCACATTTTCCCTTCCCATTTTGATCTACAAGAAATGAACTGTTGCATGGAAATCATAAGATTCATAGTTGCAAATCATGAAATCTATTCAACTGTTTTGTTTCTCAAGGATTTTGTGAGAAGTATTCCCTTTAGAGATTTCTTTTTCTTAACTGATCTTCATCAGAGATGTTAACCAAGCCTCTTCTAACTGTTGTGTAACTGCTGGGAAGAGTTTAAAAGTTTAAGCACAGATAGATCTTCTATAGATCCCTAGATACAGGATTGATCTTACTGTCTGTTGCACCTCTGTGATTTCACAACTTTTCCCCATCCCTTTTTTTCCTTTAAGAATAGTAAGGAAGGGTAATGCAGATTTTCTTTGTTAATTCTGCCTTTTATTTATTTGCGTTCAACACTAGGGGAATGACAGGTCTGAAAAAACTTATATATTTGTGCTGTATCCAATCTTCTTTTTAAGACCTTTAAAATTCTTTCTACTTTCCTGTAAATTACTGGAATAGGCTTCTTTTTGGAAACAGGAGTTACTTTGATTTCTGTGTACCCATCTTCTGTAGTTTTAAGTATGAGTAGGTCACTGCTCAGTTCAGGTGCAAACTTCCCCCTTTTGTGTCTATGAATCATTCCATCTTCTGTTTGAGTTTTTGTTTCTTTTGAACATTCTTTTTCATTTGTTTATCTACTTTTCGCTTGAAAGGTCCCTGCCGTTCTTTACAGTGACATCATTTACTTGTGACATCATTAACTTTTACATTCTTCTGAATTGACAGCTGTCCAAAGAGTGCTCAGTGTGCTTATTTATATTCATTATAAGACAGACACATTAATTGCTAAATTCTGTCTATCTGTAAAGGTTCTCCCCCCTCCAGGAAGTTTTCACTAAATTATGGCTACATTTCATTTTCTGATCAGGAATAGCAGTTAATGTCTATAATCACATATAATTGTATACTATTCTTGAACTACTTCAGAATCTTGTCTCCCGAGTGAAATCTATAAGCTTTTAGGGATAGAGACCATGTCTTATATTTCTTATGTAGAACACCTTAGCACAGTTCTGATTAAACACAGATGATAGACACTTAGTAAATGGTTGGTGAATTGAGTTGACCTCACTTATTCTCTGCTCATTCATTTGTTATGATTTCTAGTATCTCCATTATCTGACCTCTTGTTTGTTTTTATTTGTGGGACATCCATGGAGATCTCTTTACTTGACATCTAGAAATCTGTACTCTCTCGTGAACTTAATTAGTGCTCCTTTTTCAGTAGTTTGTTTTTTTTCTTCTTCCATCTTTCTTTTAATAACATACTGTCCTCTTCACCTCATCTACCCACTAACATAAATTTCACTTTTGTCTGCTCTCCTAGGTTGTGGAGATCTAATCCCTGGTCATTATAAAGCTGGGATCTAGTTTATAGCAAGCCCGATGACATACTGCAGCCTTGCCAGTGCTGATTGCCTGCTGTTTTTGGCTTAAATACTGCTTTTGCTTGAAGAATCAGAAACTTACTTTAGTTTCTGATATCCTTATTTTTGACTAAATGTGCTAGAAAATAGAATTGTAGTTCTAACATATGTGTGCCCCCTTTGGTGATGTTTATTAAATGTTTATTAGGTGGTGGTTTTCCCCCAACTCACCTTACCATCTTCATCCTAATACTCTCCATGTCATTGTCTTTGTATCATTAAGATATTTTAAATTCCTGAGTATGCAGTAGTTGTTTGTTCAAGTGCTTATACTTCTGCCCTTCCAGTTAATGGTGGTGGTTGGGGGCCAAGCCCCAAAGGCTATTCGAAGTGTGGAATGCTATGACTTCAAAGAAGAGCGATGGCACCAAGTAGCAGAGTTGCCTTCTAGGAGATGTAGGGCAGGTAAGCATGATGCATTGTGATCATTTCCCTATTGCTGGGTCATTGGGAGTTTCCTGTCAGGTCTTATCTTACTAACTAAAAGAGTCTTTACTGGAAAAATTTTGATTAAAATAGCTGTGTGATTAAACAGTGATTCAGGAGCCTCATACAACTCACAAGACATTGATGGAGTTAGAAGCTCTTTCTTAAATTTACATATTTTTCTGATTCTAATGTAAGGTGGAGTAGCTAGCAATTTGTTGGATATTTTCCTTGTTACCTTTGTTGAAGTATTGACAAGGAATTCTTGGCTTGGGACACTTATTGCTAAGAAATTCCTAACTTGGCTATAAGCCACAGTTGCTTTCTTCCAAGCATCTGCTTTTCAAACATTTGTTGAAATGGACCTTAATTTAGCCAAAACTGCAATCAAAAAAAGACTTTTGCAGTTTCTAAGAATTCTTTCTGAGACTCAAACCTGGATCTGTAAATTCATAGCTCCCATAGCAAAATGAGTTGTAAGCATAACAGAACATTTATATTGTGGTAGTCTTTTAACAGTACATCCTGGAGCTTGTTATATAAGAGCATAGATTTAACTCATTTCTTTATAGCTGTCTAGTATGTTGTGGGGGAGGTTCTGGATGTAGTATAATTTTTACTAGTTTTTAATTGAACATTAAGATTGTTTTTAATCTTTCTTTATAAGCAGTGCTGCAATTCCTTATACATATATCATTATGTATGTGTGCTAATAGATTTTAGTTGGATAAAACTCTAGAAATGGAATAATTATTAAAAGGGTATCTTAAGATATACTAATTATTACTTCCACTAACAGTAAATATGAAGGTACTAATTTCACTACATACCCTATGAAAGTGAAAGTCGCTCAGTCGTGTCCAACTTTTTGCGACTGCATGGACTACATAGTCCCTGGAATTCTCTAGGCGTCCCAACCTAGGAATTGAACCCAGGTCTCTCCCACATTGCAGGCGGATTCTTTACCGGCTAAGCCACAAGGGAAGCCCAAGAATACTAGAGTGGGTAGGAGTGGGTAGCCTTTCCCTTCTCCAGGGGATCTTTCCAACCCAGGGATGGAACCCAGGTCTCCCACATTGCAGGCGGATTCTTTACCAGCTGAGCCACAAGGGAAGTCCAAGAATACTAGAGTGGGTAGCCTATCCCTTCTCCAGGGGATCTTCCCGACCGACAAATCGAAATGGGGTCTCCTGCATTGCAGTGGATTCTTTACCAACTGAGCTATCAGGGAAGCCCCTGTAACACCTTATAATTAAATGTTTGAGTTTTGCAAGCTGGTAGGTGAAAAATTCTTTCACATCTAGTTTGCACTTTTATTTTGAGGAAAGTTAAACATCTTTCTAAATGGTCAGTTCATGGTTTCATGATTTTTGCCATTGTTTTATTATTGATTTGATATGTTAAGGAGAATAGCCCTTTTTTCCTGTCAGTTGTGGTGTGAATATTTCTTTGTATTAATCTTTTGACTTTATTTGCATTATTTTTGTGTTATTTTTGCCATGTAACTCTATTACTTTCTGTGGGTTCCTGTACCATCAGAATTTTGTCATTGTACTTATGGATTTCTTTCTTGTGTAGAAAAGCCTTACTCAAAAATTATTTGTGTGTATAATTCATTGTATTAATATCTTATATAGCTGTGATAGTTCTCAAAACTTAAGAAATCAGTATTGGTATATTACTATTACCTAAGCTAAAGGCTTACTATATTTTACAGTTTTTTTCTGTTAATGTTCCTATTCTGTTTCAAGCCCTCACATTGCATGCATGCATGTATTTATAATTGAAGTAAATAGAGTTGATTTACAATATCATGTTAGTTTCAGGTATACAGTGAAATGATTCACTTATATTGATCTTAAGACTGTTTTCCATTATGCATTATTGCAAGATATTGAATATAGTTCTCTGTGCTATACAGTAAATCCTTGTTGCTTTATCTACCTTATGTGTAGTAGTATGTATGTGTTAATCCCATACTTCTAATTTATCCCTTTCCCCCTTTCCCCTTTGGTAACCATAAGTTTGGTTTCTGTGTCTGTGAGTCTGTTTTGTATGTAGATTTGTGTGTATCATGTTTTAGACTCCACGTACGTGGCGTTGACTTCCCTGCTGGCTCAGACGGTAAAGTGTCTGTCTACAGTGCGGGAGACCTGGGTTCAATCCTTGGGTGGGGAAGATCTCCTGGAGAAGGAAATGGCACCCCACTCTAGTATTCTTGCCTGGAAAATCCCATGGGCAGAGAAGCCTGGTAGGCTACAGTCCATGGGGTCGCAAAGAGTCAGACACGACTGAGCAACTTCACCTTCACCTTCACCTTCACCTATGTGCTGTCGTGTAGTATTTATCTTCTAACTTACCTCTGTATGATATTCTCTAGGTTCATCCATGTTGCTGCACATGGTAGTGTTTCGTTCTTTGTGATGACAGAGTAATATTCTGCTGTATATGTAGCACATGTTAAACCAGTCATCTGTTGGTGGACACTTGGTTTGTTTCCATGTCTTTGCTATTGTAAATGGTGCTACTCTGAACATTGAGGTGCATGTATCTTTACAAATCACAATTTTCATCTTTTCCAGAAATACGCCCAGGAGGGGGATTGCTGGATCATATTGTAGTTTGCATTTTTAGTTTTTTAAGAAAACTCCATACCATTTTCCACAGTGGCTACACCAATTTACATTCCCACTAATCGTGTAGGTAGATTCCCTTTTCTTCACATCCTTTCCAGCATTTATCATTTGTAGATTTTTTTGATAAAGCCATCTGACCACTGTGAGGTAATACTTCATTGTGGTTTTGATTTGCATTTCTCTGATAATCTCAGATGTTGAACATCTTTTCATGTGCCTGTTTGGACATCTATTTATCTTCTTTGGAGAAATGTCTGTTTAGGTCTTCTGCCCATTTTCTGATTGGGTTGATTTTTTTTTTTTTTTCTATTGACTTTTATGAGTGGTTTGTATATTTGGGATATTAACCCCTTGTTAGTTGCATCATTTGGAAATATTTTCTCCCATCCCATAGGTTGTCTTTTCACTTTATGATGGTTTTCTTTGCTGTGATTGTGTTTGTGATGGTTTCCTTTAATTCTGTAAAAATCAAAATTTTTAAGTTTGATTAGGTCCTGTTGTTGATATTTGCTCTTATTTCTTTTGCTTTGGGAGACTGCTCTAAGAAAATATTGCTGTGATTTATTTCCAAGAATGTTTTGCCTGTTTTTTCTTCCAGGTGTAACATGTCTCACATTTTGGTTTTTAAACCATTTGTGTTTATTTTTGTAGGTGGTGTGAGGGAATGTTCTAATTTCATTGATTTACATGCAGCTGTTCAGCTTTCCCAACACTACTTGTTGAAGAGACTGTCTCTTTTCTATTGCTTAGTCTTGTCTCCTTTGTTGGATTAATTGACCATAGGTATGTGGCTTTATTTCTGGGCTCTCTGTTCTCTTCCATTGATCTATATGTCTGTTTTTGTGCCATTACCATTGTGTTTTGTTTACTGTAGCTTTGTAGTGTTGTGTGACATCTAGAAGTTATGCCTCCAGCTTTATTCTTTCTCTTCAGTATTTCTTTGGCATTTCTGGGTCATTTATGGTTCCATATAAGTCTTAGTATTGTTTGTTCTAGTTCTCTGAAAACTGTCCCTGGGTATTACAGATTGCATTTAATCTGTAAATTGTATGGTCATTTTAGCAATATTAATTTTTATAAGAGCAAGAGATTTCTTTCAATTCTGAATCATCTCCAGTTTCCTTCATTGTTGTTTTATAGTTTTCAGCATATAGATCTTCCACCTCATTGGTTACACTTATTCCTAGGTTGTTGGAATTTCAAATGGGACTATCTTTTAAACTTTCTTTTCTGATATTTCATTTTTTGTGTAAAGGAATGCAACAGATTTCTGTGTATTATTCTTGTATCCTGCCATGTTGTTGCATTCATTTAATAGTTCTGAAAGGTTGTTGCTGAACCCACGAGAAGACGCCAGGATTCTTGGCCTCCGGAGGAGAAGAATTCAATTCAGGGCCAGAGATGAGGCTTGATCGCTCAGAGGTTTTGTGCAATAGAGTTTATTAAAGTACAAAAGGGATAGAGAAAGCTTCTGACATAGACATCAGAAGAGGGCAGAAAGAGTACCCTCTTGCTAGCATTAACAATGGAGTTATATACTCTCAAATTAGTTATTACAGTGAATCAAAAGAATGTCTGGAGGTTGTACAGACCTCACCAGACCTACTCCCATAACTTACATTTTGAGATAACAGAATTAGCCAGAAGGTTTTTTCCAGAGACTGTCCGCAAGCAGGATGCATTATTGTTATATAGTCCTAAGGAATGTAGAGGGAAAAAACTTTTGTCCTTTCTTCCTCCTTGAGAATTCCAGACCCCTCTCTCCTTGGGGACCCCTAGACTTCCTATCAACCTGCCTAGGAAAGGAGTCTCTCATTTCCCCCTTTTCTTTTAGGAGAATTATGTTGCCAAGGGAAAGGGGCATCGCTTTCGTTCCATAACTACTTCCTGCTGTTTAGGGGCATGGTCCCTAAATTGTTGAGGCAACATATTCTCCTAACCCTCATACTGAGGGTCTCTGATCCAGGGGCCCCAAGTAATATTTGGAAGAGGCTGGAAATGAGAAAGTCCTTTCCTAGGCAGGAAATGGCAACCCACTCCAGTATTCTTGCTTGGGAAATCTCATGGACAGAGGAACCTAGTGGGCTACATGTAGTCTTTGGGATCACCAAAGAGTCGGACATGACTTACTGACTAAACAGCAACGTGTTTCTTGAAACTTCCATTTCTTCTAGGCTGTCCAGTTTGTCATTATGTAAGTGTTCACAGTATTCTAATTATTTTATTTTATTTTATTTTGTATTTCTGTGGCTGTTATTTCTCTTCTTTTATTTCTTAGTTTGTTTATTTGGATTTGCTCTCTTATTGAACCTAACTAGAGGTTTGTTGATTTTTGCTTATCTTTTCTAAAAACCAGCTCTTGGTTTTATTGCTCTTTTCTGTTGTTTTTCTTTTTAATCTTCATTTTCTTTATTTCCTCTCTGATCTTTGTTATTTTTCCTTCTGCTAACCTTGAGTTTTGTTTATTCTTCTTGTCCTAATTCTTTTAGTTGGTAGGTTAGGTTGTTTGAGTTTTTCCTTGAGGAATGCCTTTATAGCTATGAACTTCTCTTGTAGAACTGCTTTTACTTCATCCCACAGATTTTGTAAGGTTGTGTTTTCATTGTCTTTTGAGTCAAGGCGTTTTCTGATTTCTTATTTGAGTCCATCATTGACCCATTGGTTTTTTAGTAGCATGTTGTTTAGTCTCCATATGTTCATTTTTTCCTCTGTTTTCTTTCTGTAGTTGATTTCTAGTTTTACACTATTGTGGTCAGAAAAGATATATAAAATAATTTCTGTCCTTTTAAATTTGTTGAGACTTGTTTTGTGACCTAGTGTATGGTGTATCCTAGAGAATGGTCTGTGCACACTTCAAAAAAAAATGTAATTGTATCTTGGGTATTTTTGGATGTAGTGTCCTGTAGATATCAGTTAAATCCAACTAATATGTTGTATCATTTATGATCTCTCTTATTGATTTTTTTGTCTGGAATGTCTGTCCATTGATAGCAATGGGGCATTAAATTTTCCTACTATTATTGTATTCCTGTCAATTTCTTCCTTTATCGCTGTTAGTATTTTTTTTTATTTTATTTATTTTATATTGGGTACATGTATCCTCTTCCAATATTGATCCCTTTATTATTAAATAATGTCCTTCTGTGTCTTTCGTTAGGACTTTTAAAGTCTATTTTGTCTTATATGAGTATTACAACTCCTTTCTTGTCATTTCCATTTGTATGAAGTATCTTTTTTCATCTTCTCACTTTCAATCTGTGTGTCTCTCACACTGAAGTGAGTCTCTTTGTAGGCAACACAGTGTAATTTCTTGTCATATTTGTTGTTGTTGTTTAGTCTGCCAATCTATATGTCCTTTGATTAGTCTGTTGACATTTGAAGTAATTATTGATAGGAATGTACTTATTAGGACTTCCCAAGTGGCTCAGCAGTAAAGAATCTGCCTGCCGTGCAGGAGAGTCAGGTTCAATCCCTGGCTTGGGAAGATCCCCTAAAAGAGGAAATGGCAACCCATTCCTGTATTCTTGCTGGGAAAATCCCATGGACAAAGGAGCATGGTGGGCTATAATCTGTGGAGTCACTAAGAGTCGAACGCAGCGAAGCACGTACGCAGAGAGCTGTCAGATCCCTGTGGAGACTGTGTAAGTCCAGTATTTTTGATGTGAGGGCTGTTTCTGGTCTGTACGCCAGCCACATCTCTCAGAATGTGCTGGCTGTTAACCCTTGATAAGGGGATGTGATTGGAGTTGTGTCCAGAACCTGCTCTAGGTGTTGAGCGGGGCCTCCTCTCTTCTTCTTGGCTGTCATAGCCTTGGCAGGGGCAGGATCTGCCCCCCAGTTGTTTGAGTAGAAGCCCTGAGTCTCAGGCTCAATATGGCACTGTTGCCCTTGCTCTGTCCCAAAGGAAGTGAGCTCTAGAAGCAATTGAGGACCATGTGGTCACAGTCTGCACCCCTGTGCAGTCATTTGTGGTTTTGCCTAGAAACAGCCCGTGATCATGTCCCTTTCTCCATGGTGTTCATCCCAGATCTGTTGCTAGGCTGTGGTGTGTGGTGTGGAGTGGGCTCGTGCTAGGGGCCAGGGTGCTGTAGCTGCAGGAATCACGATGGTTGTGCTGCTGCTGATACTTGGGCTGCCTCTGTGATGGACCTTTCCCAGGACCTGTCTGCATTAGATCTGGCTCCAAGCTTCAGTGTCAGACGGGCAGAACCAGAGTGCTCCATCCGGAAAAGGATCCCCTGTGTACTCCTGCCCAGGGGCTCTTCCTGTGTTTCTGTCTTCATGTGTTTCTGTGGTGTCATCCAGTGTACACACCAAGAGTGTCTGCTGGGGCTGGACGTGCCCTCATGCTGTGAATGCTGACAGTGGGCTCTGAGATTTGATAAGGCCATACACAAGGCCCTCCAAGCTGTCCCCATGCAGATAGACTGAGTTCTCAACGTGGGCCCATCTGCCCAAGATTCAGCATCTAGCTGCTGTGCATACTAGCATCCCCACCCATTGTGCATTTTAATTTAGACAGGAAAGCATGGTGAGGTTGCAGCGATCAGCTCCAGGGTCTCTCTGCTCTGATTGCTAGTAAACCAGCACCCATACAGTCCTCAAGAGCGAAGACCAGGCCCCTTTGAGACAGGCTGGGACCTGGGACATGGCATCCTTTACTGTAGTGCTTGTATCTGGAAACACCTTTAGCAGCAGAATATAAAGAAACTCTGGTGGTAGTTTAGTCACTAAGTCATGTCCGATTCTTGTGACCCCATGGTCTGCAGCCTGACAGGCTCCTCTGTCCATAAGATTCTCCAGGAAAGAATATTGGAGTGGGTTGCCATTTCCTTTTCCAGGGGATGTTCCTGATCCAGGAATAGAACCCAGGTCTCCTGCACTACAGGCAGATTTTTTACTGACTGAGGTATGAGGGAAGCCCACTTCACACATGCCTAGTGAGGGCACTTATGAACAAGGCTAAAACACAACTGCCACTTCTGACATGCTGGGAGCAAAAGCAGGGTCCTGCACACAGTACTGCCAAGGGCTGACAGACCGTCTAAGTCACATGCCCTGTGCAGCCCACCAATCCTCTCTCACCTTCACACCATCTAAGAAATCAGCTCTCCTCTCTTCAGGGAGTGAGCAAGTGAGCCTGTTANGCCAAGGGCTGACAGACCGTCTAAGTCACATGCCCTGTGCAGCCCACCAATCCTCTCTCACCTTCACACCATCTAAGAAATCAGCTCTCCTCTCTTCAGGGAGTGAGCAAGTGAGCCTGTTACTTGTTTTTGCTCCCTTTTGCTAAGCACGTATCCCAGTAAAGGCCTGTCTGAATTCCTGATCTGGCCTCTTCTCAATTTCTATTGCTTAGAGAGTCCAGGAATCCACAGCCTCCAGCCCCTCTATCTGTCCTAGCAGACCTTGCAGCAAGCAAGGGGGCTCCCCAAGTCGAGGCCCTGCCCATGTGAACCTTTCCTTCTTTACAGCTCCCTCTCAGGGGTGCCAGGCCTGTCTTGAATGCCTTTTGCCCCCCATCCTTGGTTACATGGAAATCTTCCTTGCAGCTTTGGTTGTAAAAGAGATCTCCTGCAAGTTTCCAGTCAGTTTTCTGTGAGAGTTGTTCCACATGTAGTGCGTGCTTGGTGCATTTGTGGATGAGGTGAGCTCCACTTCCTCCTGCTTTGCCGTTTTGATCCCTGTAACAGTGCATTTAGTTGTGTTTTCTTAATCTCTTCTGACTTGTGACAGTTCCATAGTCTGTCTGTATTTTCATGCCCTTGATTCTTTGGAAGAGCACTTGATCAGATATTTTGAAGAATATTTTACAATGATACTGCAAAGTGTATAAGATTTATTAACCTTGAAATAGATGTTATTTGCTCTAGTGGTTCAGGAGTTACTGATAATCCCTTCAGGATTAGTGGTTTGGGGAAGGCCTCATAGGAAGTATGGAACTTTCATTGGGATTTCCAACTTGAAGAGGAGCTTCTCAGAACAGAACAGCAGCACAAAAAAGTTTGGGAAGGTGAAGAAGTGGTGAAATCCAGAGTCTGCAATTTAGTTTCTCCACCTAGGGACCCCCTAGCATCTCACTAGCCAGCAAACTTTTTCTTAAAGGACCAGAAAGTAAGTATTTGTGGCTTTGTGGGTTATATGACCTTTGCCACAACTAATCAAGTGCCACCATAGTTGAAAGCAGCATGATGAATGTCTGGAGCTGTGTTCCAATAAAACTTTATTTATGGATACTGAAATTTTAATTTTATGTAACTTTTCGTATATCATGAAATATTCTTTTCTTCTTGACTGCTTTTCAACCATTTAACAGTGTAAAAATCATTCTCAGCTCAGTGAGCTTCTACTGAAATAGCCTACTGGCTATAATTTGCTAACCCCAGATTTAGCCCACTAACATGATAAATGAGAAGCACATTATGCAAATTAAATATAGACATGTTCAGGTAGTTGGAAAATTCTTGCTCATTGTTTAAGTCTGTGTATATCTTTGAAAAAGTCAGGAGTCAAAGTAATACCTCAGCCCATGCCATTGCATTTTTTCATAGCAGAAAGGAGCACAATCTAGTTGTTTTGTATTCTCACTAACGAATAGTGTTTCTTAGGACCTATTCAGCCAAGCTTCTCCTTAGGGGAACTTAAAGTCTGACAACAGTTCTAGACTGTTTGGAATGCAGTCTTTAGGTGGTGGTAGCAGTTGGGTGGCACACTCACTAGTAACTGCTCTATTTCTTTTGCAGGGATGGTTTACATGGCTGGACTCGTTTTTGCTGTTGGTGGCTTTAATGGTTCCTTGAGGGTCCGCACTGTGGATTCTTATGACCCTGTGAAAGATCAGTGGACCAGTGTTGCTAACATGCGAGACCGGAGAAGCACTCTGGGGGCTGCCGTGTTGAATGGACTGTTGTATGCAGTGGGAGGCTTTGACGGGAGTACAGGCAATTTTCTTTCATCTTTTCTAAATTGCTGTTAGAAATTAACATAGCAGTCACATTTATGGAAGAAGGCCTGGCATAATTAGGAGTCAGTTGAGTCTTTTACTAGGTATTATAAAGATAAGTTTAAAATTTCCATCCAGAATTCCTTTAAATGATGTTAAGAGTGCTAAGTATATAGGTTTTTTCTCAGGCTTCAATATCAGTTATCTTCTCAAGTTTAAAAAGCCAATGGATATCAGTAGCTTGCATAGGTATTCTCTAGAAAAGAAATTATTTCTCTTCATCATATAATTGAATGTTAGCCCATTTTAATGCAACTGAAGTATTTCCCCTAATGTATATGTAAGGAACCTGAGGAGGAGATGAAGCGCATTGTGCTTTGTTCATTACAGGGCTGTCCTCCGTGGAAGCATACAACATCAAGTCTAACGAGTGGTTCCACGTGGCCCCCATGAACACGAGGAGGAGCAGTGTGGGTGTCGGTGTTGTTGGAGGTGCGGGCAACCCTCTGGTGGTTAAGAGTGTTTCTTCCAGTAATCCAGACCCGAGTTTTCTAAATGGGCAAGCAAATGATTATTTTAAAAGGGAAACACACAGTGGTTGTTATGAAATGTTAGTTGTCCTTTTTTGTCTGCCCTCTGGCCTCTCTCTGTCCTCCCTCCCTCTTTTTCTCATCTCTTTGTATTGCTGTAGCTTTTACCAATACCTCATTTCTTTTTATTAGCAAATAATATTTCACTGTATACAGTACTGACTCTTAATATTGCTTTTTTAAAATGGTACCCACTCCAGTATTCTTGCCTGGGAAATCCCATGGACAGAGGAGCTTGATGGGCTACAGTCCATGAGGTCTTAAGAGTCGGACACAACTGCGCGCACACACACACACACAAGATAACTTTGCTATTTAATTTGGTTTTCTAGGATATTGTTCACTTAGCAAATAGTGTTATCCAAAGATAATAAGTGTACTTTCTTTTCTGTCAGATTATTGATGAAAGTGTTATATTAATATGTATATTCTGTAGATCTTTATAATGTGATTTGGTAACTCCACCTGTCACCATTAGGCAAGATTTTAAATAGTTCGTAAAAATCAGTAATACTTTAAAGGTAAATTCTGCTACCATGGAGGAAAATTCAACATTTCATGACTTGGAAAAATAGCTGTTTATGAATTTGACTTTCTTTGTGATTCCACATTTAGGTCTGCTCTATGCTGTTGGGGGTTACGACGGAGCTTCACGTCAGTGTCTTAGCACAGTGGAATGCTACAGTGCCACGGCAAATGAGTGGACCTATATAGCAGAAATGAGTACCAGAAGGAGTGGAGCAGGTGAATAGGAACCTCATTCAGCAATTGAAACACAAAAATGACGGAAAAGAATTAAACAAGTGAAATAATGACATCTCTTTATATTATCAGAAAATATATACTGATTCTAGTGACACTGTTAAAATGTCTTTTGCATTATACAAGTTGGAGTAGTAGGTAGATGCACTTAAATTCACTTTGTAAAATTTCTCGTTCTATATTAAAGGCTTGTTCTGTTTCATTTAATTATTCATATTGTTTGGCATTACTTTTAGGTTTTTACTTTTAGTGCTTATTGGAGAACTTGCTTAATAATCAACTCCCTTCATATCCATTTCTTACAGATCTAATACTCTTAATACTGATTTCCTTTTATCATGAAAGTTGTTTTCAAAAGGGTTATGTTGTAAAGGACTTACCTCTCTGTTTTCACCTACACATTATTTTTATTGTATTTGACAATAACAATAGTTCTTAGTAAGATTCTCATTTGTAATTATTTTCATTTCCATTTTGCTAGGTTGAATGCTTTCAGATTGATTTTTAATATAAATAATTTCAGAAATTTTATTTACAAGTCATTCGAATAAACCCTAAAATGTTACAAATTTCCTGTCCCTTTTACTGTACTACAGGTTGGTATTTTTTGTTTTATAGGTGTTGGTGTGTTAAACAACTTACTGTATGCTGTAGGGGGTCATGATGGCCCTTTAGTACGAAAAAGTGTTGAAGTATATGATCCTGCCACCAACACATGGAGACAGGTTGCAGATATGAACATGTGCAGAAGAAATGCAGGTATCTGTCTAATTTAAGATTAAGAACTTTGTATTGAATTGTATTCAGAGTTTTACTAGTATCACTGTGTATTTCCATTGTTCTTTTACTGATCTGAATTCCTAATAGACTTGCTCTTTAAAGGCAGAAACTTAAAATAATCCTAAGTAGTGAATGCCAAGTATGATGTGGGGCATGCAGTTTAATGTGATCCTTCTGTTAACTTATAATTTCTGTCAGAATTTACTTTTTGGTGATGACCATAAATACTAAGTTAGAAAAAGAACTCTATTTGATACTTGAATTAATTCTTTTGTACCACAGACATTTTTGAATGTCAGCCTCTATCACATTTTGGAGTTCAGTTTTCAGGGACTTTAGTCTAGTTAAGTAAATACTTCAGTTCAGTTCAGTTCGGTCACTCAGTAGTGTCCCAACTCTCTGTGACCCCAAGGACTGCAGCACGCCCAGCCTCCCTGTCCATCACCAACTCCTGGAGTGTACTCAAACTCATGCCCATCGAGTCAGTGATGCCATCCAGCCATCTCATCCTCTATCGTCCCCTTCTCCTCCTGCCTTCAATCTTTCCCAGAATCAGGGTCTTTTCCAATGAGTCAGCTCTTCACATCAGGTGGCCAAAGTATTGGAGTTTCAGCTTCAACATCAGTCCTTCCAATGAACACCCAGGACTGATCTCCTTTAGGATGGACTGGTTGGATCACCTTGCAGTCCACGGGACTCTCAAGAATCTTCTCCAACACCATAGTTCAGAAGCATCAATTTTTTGCCAGATGGTCGACACCGAAATCAGATTGATTATAACTATTGATTATATTATAATCATATTGATTGCAGCCAAAGATGGAGACGCTCTATACAGTCAGCAAAAACAAGACCGGGAGCTGACTGTGGCTCAGATCATGAACTCCTTATTGCCAAATTCAGACTTAAACTGAAGAAAGTAGGGAAAACCACTAGGCCATTCACATATGACCTAAATCAAATCTCTTATGACTATACAGTGAAAGTGAGAAATAGATTTAAGGGACTAGATCTGATAGACAGAGGGCCTGATGAACTATGGATGGAGGTTCGTGACATTGTACAGGAGACAGGTATCAAGACCTTCGCCAAGGAAAAGAAATGCAAAAAGGCAGAATGGTTGTCTGAGAAGGCCTTACAAATAGCTGTGAAAAGAAGAGAAGCCAAAAGCAAAGGAGAAAAGGGAAGATATTCGCATTTGAATGCAGAGTTCCAAAGAATAGCAAGGAGAGATAAGAAAGCCTTCCTCAGTGATCAATGCAAAGAAATAGAGGAAAACAACAGAATGGGAAAGACTAGAGATCTCTTCAAGAAAATTAGGGATACCAAGGGAACATTTCACCCAAAGATGGGTTCGATAAAGAACAGAAATGGTATGGACCTAACAGAAGCAGAAGACATTAAGAAGAGGTGGCAAGAATACACAGAAGAACTGTACAAAAAAAAAGATCTTCACGACCCAGATAATCACAATGGTGTGGTCACTCACCTAGAGCCAGACCTCCTGGAATGTGAAGTCAAGTGGGCCTTAGAAAGCATCACTATGAACAAAGCTAGTGGATGTGATGGAATTCCAGTTGAGCTATTTCAAAGCCTGAAAGATGACGCTGTGAAAGTGCTGCACTCAATATGCCAGCAAATTTGGAAAACTCAGCAGTGGCTGCATGACTGGAAAAGGTCAGTTTTCATTCCAATCCCTAAGAAAGGGAATCCCAAAGTAAATACTTACACCAGATTAAAAAGCTTGTTGTTTATCTGAATCTGGAGGGGAAGCCTAAAGAAGGCAACCACAATTTAATATAGTTCAGGGTTTCTAGAGAATGGAAAAGCTAAAACAACAACAATAGCAATTTTAAGAAACCTGAGGTCTTCAAGACCAGGGAAGTACCTCCTTAAAAAGAAAATCCATGGAAGGGAAATAGAAATGGAAAATAGATTCAGGAGCTAGGTAGTCTTTTGGGGAAATGCTCATCTTCTTAAAAATGCCATTGTCTTCATGCCAGGTCCCACAATCCAAAATAATCCTGATGATTCTCAGAATCACTGTGTACCATTGATTGATGTTTCAAGATGCACCCTGCATCCCCCCAGAAATACTCTTCCTATTTCTCTTTACTTTAAATGGGATCACTAAGGAAGATAAGTATGTCGGACTCCAAGAACTCACTCAGCAGAACAAAATATTAATTCACTTGACCTTGTACCTCATCCAGTCAGTCGTACTAGGTGAAATATTAAAGCACTCTCAGCTATGGATAGTCCAAAACTAGTAAAACCACAAATCTGGGCCCTAGCACATGTGAAGTTAGAAAAGCATATGTGCTTGTACTTCCTGGACTAGGAAGTTTATTGGCAATAAGAGCAAGAAAGCTGAAAATAATTTAAAATCTATCAGTAAAAGTCAAATGAATTATAGTAGTATCATACATGGAATATTGTCAGCCATTTAAAATAATATAAATCTGTATTTATTAACTTGAGGAAATATCCAGGTATATATTTTTTGGTGTGAGTGTGTAAAAAGTAGCTTATGTAGTATGAGCTACTTTGGGGTTAAAAAAGGAGAGTCTGAGAATATATGCGTAGAAAAGAGCCAAAATTTCAGTGATCAGGATTCTAAGTGGTATAAGATTAGTGGTGGTCTTTTCTTCTTTGTACTTTTCTAGGGGTTTTGAATTTTTCCAAAAAAGAAAAAAACATAGTATTCTCATAATAATGAAATAAGTAATACTGTTCTCCCTTTAAAGGAGATAAAATAATTAGCTAGTCAGTATAATAAAATTCAGAATCATTTTTACCTTCTACAAATATATATATTTATTATTTTCTCTTTTTCCTTAGGATTTCCTTAGAAGCTGACTTTGGGAGAATTATTAAACTTCTTTGACTTTTTAATTTTCTACTGTTTTTAATAAAGTGGGGAATAAAATAGTTTCTAGCCTATAAAGTAAGGTCATTGTGAAGATTAAATGAAATAATGCATATATAGAGCAACTGCTGTATCAGTAACTTGAGTAGAAGCTTACAGTTGGTATTAGAGAAATTCCTCACATAAAGGAATTCTTTTCAGCTTCCCCCATCTTCTCTTCCTGCCTCTTACACAGAAGTAAGTGTATCTGGATCACTTGACCAGACACGTTCAGGGCCATTTGTAGTCCTCCAAATTTTAAAAATAATTGTTTTCTCTCTGTTTAATTTTTTTAAAGGAGTTTGTGCAGTTAATGGTCTGTTATACGTAGTTGGAGGGGATGATGGTTCCTGTAACTTGGCATCAGTAGAATATTATAACCCAACAACTGATAAATGGACAGTGGTATCATCTTGTATGAGCACAGGGAGAAGTTATGCAGGTAATGATTGTTCAGCTTTCTTACAGTCTTTTATTATAATACAAAATCATTATGATTTTTACATTAAGAATGTTTTTCTCATATAAGAAGAAAGTCTTCTCAAATTATATCTTACTTCTTATTCTAAAAATAATTAATGTCAGATACGTATGTTCTAAAATAAGGTACTAATATTCTTTTGTCATTCTGTAGTCATTTGTATTCAAAATTAAAAATATTTCCATTGTAGAATCATAAAATAAAATTTAATATAGCTACATCTGTATGCAGTGGCAGGGAATTCACTATGTAGCAAGGCTTTAATTACTCAGATATTTAAAAGATATGGGGGCTTCCCCGATAGCTCACTGGGTAAAGAATCTGCCTGCAATGCAGGAAACACAGTTTCGGTCCCTGGGTTGGGAAAATCCCCCTGGAGGAGGAAATGGCAACCCACTTCAGTATCATTGTCTGAAAAATCCCATGGACAGAGGAGACTGATAGGCTATAGTCCGAAGGGTCTCAAAGAGTCAAGATGTGACTGAGCGACTCATCATGCATGCTAAAAGATATCTCCCTGGCAAGGCTCCATGTGAAGGTATTGCGGTGAGGCTACAGAGTAATTTTTTTTAAGCACAGCACTGACTGAATTATAAAATAATCGTTTTGGTCCATTCTCTTCATAAGAAAAATGGTAATAATCTTTAATAATATGAGTCTTTAAGACTGTTGCATATGAATTTCCTGATATCTGTATTTATATTGCTTTAAATATTAGAATGTTTCAGTAACATTCTAATACTGATTGACTACTGGAGAAAAAAGAAATTTATACTAATTAGCCATCACTGTTATTTATGTATCATCCAAAACAACATGTAATAGAACTATATACCTATAAGCTTCCAGTAGCAGTCCTCAAAATTATGTAAAATTTTTTAAAACAGCTTTAGTGAGATATAACTGACATAGAATAAATAGCTTATATTTAAAGTGTACAATTTTATTAGTTTTGACATATGTATGAAACCATCACCACAATCAAGATAATGAATATTCATCACTCTCACAAGTTTCTTTATGCCCCTTTTAGTATTAGGTGGATCTTAGTATTTCTTGAGTAAAATTATTTTCCCTTCATTATAGAACTATGAAGAGCAAAAGGTGAGTTCTAGATTAAATAGTCTGACATAGTTTTGGTACATAATTTTTAAACAAAGATTTCATTGTCATTTAGATTAAAATGATAGTAATACTACAGTTTCTTAGAGATTTAGAACCATCATGATCTCTTCAGTCCTCATCACTTAAGTTATAAAAAAATTCAGGATTTTCTCAGAGATACAGAATGCTTCCTGTGACCTCAGTTTTATTTCTTTGTTTCTTTGCTCAGGGGTCACAGTTATTGATAAACCATTATGAGCCTAAAGGACATTTTCAGCGCATTTACACATGAGAAGCAGACTTCAACAAGTACTTCTGAAGTGACTGAGAGTCTAGCACTTCTCCACTTGTAGCTGCACGTTAAGTCTCTGCAGAGGATAAGATCATCTGCCTCTATAGGCCTCAGATACTGAAGATTATTTTTGGTAGATGCACCGTGTAGGCTTTTTCTGCAGTGAGCAGCAGCTGACTGAATTTTAACAAGAAACTTGGATTGCAGTATTATTCTGTAGTCTTTGGACAACAGTTGCTTTCACAAAGAGTATCAACCATGTTATCAACCATGAATAACTATGGATTATTTTGTGAAGGAGGATAAAGTAATATGTGTTCTTGTAAAATTAAATTTCATCTTTATTTCTTCTCCTGAAAATCTGTATGAACAGGAACTGAAAATCTTTGAACAGGTATTAAACTCTGTGTAAGTATATAAACTAGTTGAGGGATAAAACCATTTGCTTTTATAAATATGTTTGATTACATGAGTATAATAAATTGTATGCATATAAATGTGTGTCTATATGCTTTCCTTTAAATATGTTTGAAAAGATGTTTGAAACTTGATTATACTATTTATAATTGGCACAGTACTTTGAATTATGCCAGTACTACATTGTAAAACAGAGTTGTATTTTTTGATATTTAAGAATGCTTAACACTTTAAAATGCCACTTCTGAGGAATGAACATGGTGTAACACACTTGAATACTTGTATGATGCCAAACTTTTTAAAATAAAATATAAACTATGCTTATTTATTACTTTCTTTGGTTTAATCTTGGTCATGTTTTGGTGTGAATTTCAAATTTTTTTTCTTAACACTTTGGCATGAACGTTATTGCAGGTTTTTGATGAATATAATGAATGTATGGAATTCAACTGAATTTGCATGCTCTTAAGAATTTTTTCTGTGTGTATAAATTTAGCTGCTATTAACAGAAGAGAGAATTTTCTGTGAGTAGCCATGTGCATTGATCAGATAGTTTTTCTGAGATCTTCAATTACTCTCACCTTAAAAATGACCAAAATATGTCTTTATTGAATTAACTTTGAATAAAATTTGTATACTATTTGTTTCACGTTGTCTTTGATTTTTATCTATTTAGTTTGCTATTAAGAAAGTTGCCTGTTCACTTCTTGTATTCTTTTATAAAATTTGCATTTTCTACTTCATAAATCCGTATTTAAAATTTGTTGCCAAAGTAACTTACAATACAAGTTAGTTAAGTCACTGAACTAAAGTCACTGAAAACTATTCTCTAAGAAAAAGCTACCTTAATTATCAAGGAAAACATCTCCCAAGGATTGGTAAAACTTATATAGTGTTCTCTCCCTAACATGGGCAGGACACAAGATAAAAGTAAAAGAAATAGCATTGAATCAAAAGGAAGCCAAAGAAACAGTATCTACTCTGACACAACCGAGAAATAAATTGTGGTTTTGATACCAAATAGAAGGAATTGAGGAAATGGACATAGGGAAGTGGGGTGGATACCTGAGGTGCTGAACACAGGAGGAGGAGATGGGATGGGGTGATGGGATATGGTGGCTGTCCTCAGGGATTTAGAAGGTAGCAGGCCTGAGCTCTTGCCAGAACAGTCAATAAAAGAAGAGAATTATATCTGTGATGAAAGTTCTGTTTAGTTAATAGAGTCGCATTTAAACATAGAACCACATTTATTACCAACTTAGTTGAATTTTCCATTGTAAGTGGAATTATAAATAATTAGGAAAAGCAAAAACCTGTGCTCACCTTATGAAAATAAATTTCTGCATTAGTGTTGCTCCAAGCACATCCATAGTCAATAAACATGTTGAGGATCTAATGAACTTGGAGCACTGTTAACTGCTTCAGACAGTGGCACCAAAAAGAGTCATTATCTCTCCTGATCACTTCCAAACATGAATATTCCATGAATTATCAATTAACGATTTATCTAAAAATTTTTAAAGCTTTTCTTAAAATAGCATGTCAGATCCCTCTTTATCTTTTCTCTCTTTAGAGATTTAATAAGTTATACAGATATATGATAAAACAGTGCCAAGTTTCAGTACTAGATTCATAACTCTTGATTTCAAAGAATTTGAATTTATTCCCCTCCCCTCCATGCCCGTCTTTATCTCTCCAGTTTGAAACATCTTGTTTTGTTCTCTTTGAGCTTATAAAAGTGTTCCTGGCTTGTTCGATTATTGTCCAAAAAAGAGGTCAGAAGTCTTAGAAATCCTGCCAGGGGAACCACCAGGTGTGAGCAGAGTTCACGGCTAGTTCCATGAAAAGACATTTTAAAGCAGCTCTGCTCCTTGCTCCACTTGACTCTGCACCTTTGTAACTAAGAGCAGTGATGGTTTGGGTTTAGGTAAATGATGAGTATACTTTCACTTCCCTTCCCATGAACTCTGATATATGATTCCTGGTTTTTATTACCATCCCTATAGATAGCATGATGACCCATGTATTTATCATCTCAGTTGTTGATGAGTTAGCATAGTATTACATAGTGGTATAATGGATTAGCCTGCCTCTTGTTTCAGTTTGTTGAGCAGATTCCCTCCTACTGGCTTATATGGCTGACTGTCTGATTTCGGAGAGAAGGCTAGGTTGGAAAGTGGAATCACACTTTGAATCAAGTTTCTGGCATTCTAATTCTGGCTTCACAATTCTAAAGGGAAAAAAAGCAGTTTAAGTGTTGCAGGGTTCATGGGCATAGGAATCAGATGGCTCCGAGTTTGCATCCCCTTCTGTCAGTTACTGGCTTTCCTGGTGGCTCAAATGGTAAAGAAACTGCCTGCAATGCAGGAGACATGGGTTCAATCCCTGGGTTGGGAAGATCCCCTAGAGAAAGGAATGGCAACCCACTCCAATATTCTTACCTGGAAAATTTCCATGGACAGAGGAGGCTGGCAGGCTATAGTCTGTGGGGTCACAAAAGAGTCCCAACAACTGAGCAATTAATTTTTCTGTCAGTTGCTAATTGTAACTTTAAACACATTTCTTAACCTCTGACCCTTATTTGTCTTCTCTAAAATGGCAACATAAGTATCTATATCTTGTTTTTTTTTAATGTTGAGTTTCAGACCAGCCTCTTCACTCTCTTCTTTTTCACCCTCAAGAGGCTCTGTAGTTCCTCTTCACTTTCTGCCATTAGAGTATCGTCTGCATATCTGAGGTTGTTGATATTTCTTCCAGCAATCTTGATTCCAGATTGTGATTCATCCAGGCTGGCATTTCACATGATGTACTCTGCATATAAGTTAAATAAGCAGGGTGACAATATATACAGCCATGTTGTACTCCTTTCCCAGTTTTGAACCAGTCTGTTTCATGTCCAGTTCTAACTATTGCCTCTTAATCCACATACAGGTTTCTTAAGAGACAGGTAAGGTGGACTGGTACTGCTATCTCTTTTAAGAATTTTCCATAGTTTGTTGAGATCCACACAGTCAAAAAGTTTTAGTGTAGACAGTGAAGCAGATGTTTTTCTGGAATTCCCTTGCTTTCTCCGTGATCCAAAGAATTGGACACAACTGAATAATAACAAAAAACAACAAAAGCTTATCACTTACAAGGTTATTGTGGAGTTTGAAAGAAATGATGTATAGTACTGTGCTTGAAATACTGAAGACCCTCAATGTTGTTGTTCAGTGGTTAAATTATATCTGACTCTTTGAGACCCCATGGACATGCCAGGCTTTTCTCATCAGCACGCCTCCAGTGTCTCCTGGAATTAGCTCAAACTCATGTCCATTAAGTCAGTGATGCCATCCAACCATCTCATCCTCTGTCGTCCCCTTCTGCTTTCAATCTTTCCCAGCATCAGAGTCTTTTCCAATGAGTCAGTTCTTCAGATCAAGTGGCCAAAGTTGAGCTTCAGCTTCAGCATCAGCCCTCCCAATGAATATTCAGGGTTGCTTTCCTTTAGGATGGACTGGTTTGATCTCCTTACAGTCCAGGGGACTCTCAAGTGTTCTCCAGCACCACAATTCAAAAGCATCAATTCTAACTCACTCAACCTTCTTTATGGTCCAACTCTGATATCTGTACATGACTGCTGGGAAAACCAAAGCTTTGACTATATGGACTTTTGTCACCAAAGGGATGTGTCTCAATAAATTACCACTATTGTTGAAGTTCTCTAAACTGCCCATTTTTTTTTAATTTTTTTATTGAAGGATAATTGCTTTGCAGAATTTTGTTATTTTCTTTCAAACCTTAACATGAATCAGCCATAGGTGTACATATATCCCCTCCCTCTTGAACCTCCCTCCCATCTCCCTCCCCATCCTACCCCTCTAGGTTGATACAGAGCCCCCGTTTGAGCTAACCTCCTGTTTGAAGTAGCTTCCTATTTCTTCACTGGAAGGAATTGAGCATATTTCTGTTTTGTTTTTTGGAGTTATATCTGTTTCCTTTCAGTTCTAAATCCCCCAAATTTAAAATAATCATCTGACCCTTTCACATACTTGCATCTTCTCTAATATTAAAACTAATATATATTTAATATAGTAAGTAGGACTCTAAGTCAGGGATAATAACCGACTTAGTATTACTGAGCACTTCCTGTATTCCAGATAGTTTGCAACGGGCTTACATATATAGTCACATTTATTGTCATAAGAAACTATTGTAATACCCACTTTAATAAGTACTGGATAAAGTTTTGAGAAGTAAATTATCTAAGAGCACACTGCTAATGAGTGGCAAAGCTTGGTAGGTCTGACCCCATGGCATATGCTCTTAATCCTCCCTTAACAGAGGGCAGCATATTTAGGCAGAGGGAAAAGCAGACTGCATTGCAGTCACAACCACAACCTCAGTCAATGGGAGACGGGGGGGGGGGCGGGGGGGTGGGGGGGGTCTGTAGCTAAACTGGCCAATCAAAGGAATCCTAAATTGGGTTGCGGTCTGGGCCTTTATACTCCCACTGGAAAGAAAGATGCTTCATGGGAAAACGGCTTTCCCCATTCTCGGTCACTGAAGGCCTACTTCAGTCCTGAAGAGACCCAGGCTCTGCAACGCAGCATCTACCCCAGGATACCACAGGCCTCCTGAAGANTGGAAAGAAAGATGCTTCATGGGAAAACGGCTTTACCCATTCTCGGTCACTGAAGGCCTACTTCAGTCCTGAAGAGACCCAGGCTCTGCAACGCAGCATCTACCCCAGGATACCACAGGCCTCCTGAAGACAGAGCTCTGAGCACGCAAGGGACAGATCCCATTTCTATTCATTTGATATGACTTCTGTCATGATACTTTACAAAGAACGTGGGTGTCAAATACATGGGACAGTTAGATGAATGGGTTGAGGGATTTCCAAAAGCAGATGGCAGCTGGCCTGTTATTTCAGGCACAAAAGTCAGTCTGATCACAGCTATGAGAAGCGATAGCGTCCCATTTGCACAAAGTCCTGCAAAGAAAGTGCCTTCAACGAGAGCGAGTAGTGCCCTTGTGCAAATTTTAAAAAGGCTCTCTTAAGCGAAAGCTTAATTTCGTGGATGACCCCCATCCGTGCACATCTCTGCATCCCCGGAGGGGCGGGAGGCGGCCGACCGTGGCAGCGAAACCAACTGCTGCGCGTCGTCTCTTCTAAACCTCCGGCTCTTGGCTTCCCGTGCTCAAACAGGCTTCGCGCTGCATTTGGAGTTACCCACTTCCCACGTACATATAGGGGTTATCAAAGGACGCTGGGGTTGGGATGAGAAAGAGGTCTAAACTTTAGGCGCAACAGCGTTACAGGTGCGCCAGTGAATACAGCGCCTAGTAAATAAGGATTTCAGGGCCGGCGCGCCTGCAAACTCCCCGAGTGCGCATGCTCTTGGAAGGGGCTGGGCCGGGCTGAGGTTGCTAGGCGACGTCTCAAGGCCTCGCCAGCCTTGCCGGGCTGGCGGACCAGCTACTGGCCGGACGCCTAGCTCTCACGATCCTCACTCCATCTGAGCAGCCAATGGCCGCGCTTCCAGTGCCGTGCTCGCACGAGTCACACGATGCCGGCAGCTGCGTAGGCCAATCACGGCTCTCAGAAGGCGGGGCGGGGCCCACGCAAGCCAATAACAGCGGAGGAGCCCGTCGACTCCCTAGTGG